GAAATGAGTGAAATCGGGTGACAACCCCGCCCACTCCCCATATAACGGTACTGTTAAAAACCACTTAAGAGCTATAAATCAAGCACTAAACACGCCAGCGACATTACATTTTGACTCTGGTATGGTATGATATGGCTTTAGAGGAACCGTGTTCACAGTTAGACAGTGGACGTGCATGAATAATACGTTTAAAGTATTCCATCTTGTGACCAAAAATTGTCTAAGTCGAACCAAAACTGTTCAAGCCCCTAGGCATTGAATATGTGGACCCCAGTGCCTATAGTTGACTTTTTACCGAAAATATCGGTCAACATAGAACAAGGCGGCAAGATCCACAAAGAAGCCTAAAACGAGTATACCATTTGACTTTGCGAGAGTATAAAATGTTCGGTTACATCCGAACTTAGCACTTTCTTACTTGTTTAATATAAAGTTTCGCCAAACAAGAAAGGTTTTCCCAGCTTTGAACCTTTCAAATCACGAGAGTTTTAAATGTTCGGTTACAACCGAAATTAGAGCCTTCTCTCCTGGTTTATTCAGTGCATTTAGCTGTGCTAATACAACAATCCAATAATATGAAAAAAACTCATGATAATACAAATTAAAAACTTTGTTTACTAGGCTTAAAAAATTAATTAATATATTTAACATAAGCACATTTAATTGACATTATAATATTTTTATCAAGCTTTAGGTATACCGCAGATAGTTTTGCTTTAATTTTGGTTTATTTAGAAAATATAATGTGCGTGAGCGTCAAAAATAAGTAAACAGCAATTATATTAATATACAAGTATTACAACGCAGTCTTTGATGCAACAACAAGAAGTTGCGTTATAAAATTCAAGGCTTATATTATTAGAGTTTAACTTAGTATAAATAATAAACAAAAACAAAACACAGCCAAAAATAATTTACTTAAACTCAAAAAACTCCACAATACAAGGCATTGATTCTGCAAGATTTTTTGTAAATTCTGAAGAGATATTGCTCCATTATTCAACCAAAGCCTTTTTTAGGTCGTCCTCATTAGAAATGTCCATCTGCCTGATTTTTCGGTCAAGGTACTCCCACATGTGCTCGATAGGATTAAGGTCTGGGCACTGTGGGGGTGATCTAGATTTTTGGTGTTCGATATAACAGCCACTCACTAACAATTTTAGACTTGTGTTTGGGATCGTTGTCCTGTTGAAATATCCCATTCCCTGTTAGTCCTAATTTATAAATACTAGGAGCAACATTGTTTTTTAAAATATTAAAATAATCCAATTTGTTCATCGTGGACGTAATGAAAACCAAATTCCCAACACCAGATGCTGACATACAGCCCAGACCATAACCAACCCTCCACCGTGTTGGTAACAAACTTTTCATGAATAGCTTTGTTTTTGGATCGCCAAACTTTAGGAGGTTGTTTCGATCCAAATATTTCGAATTTGCTTTCGTCCGTATACAAAATATTGTTCCAGAAGTTTGCAGCCTCATTTATATATTTTTTTAAAAAATCCAAGCGCTTCTGTTGATTCGCCTTTGACTTGTTGGGCTATTTGCGTGGTACTTGTCCATGCAGACCGCTTCTTTGCAATGTTCTTCTGATTGCCCTGGTTTACATGATGTCTCTGCTATATCTTTTGATATTTGAACAGCGCTTAAAACTGGACTTTTACTTCTGGTACTCGCTCTTCAGTGTCAATAAGGCGCTTTAGTCGGCCGTGGCAAATTTTCAACAATGTGGTGTTTACTATACTTTTAAATAAATTGTTTTATTGTACAATGATGTCTTCTAACTATTTCTCCGATTTCGCCTAAAGATTTTATTCATACTAAGTTAGACTCTTATAAGATAAACATTGATTTTATGACAAAACTTCTTGTTGTTTGTTTTTGTATTAAAGATTACGTTGTAATAACAATTTGAAATAAAACAATGATGGTTGAACTGCTGTTTACTTATATTTGACGCTCACAGTATGTAAAATTTTATTAAAAATATTTTTTATATGTTTGCAAACAATATTTTCCTTTTTAGTTTCAGTTGCCGATTATTATGCAAATAATTTATATAAAACCAAGTTGGATTGAGAACATAAATTTTTAGAATACAAACAAACAAGTGATACAAACAGATTTGAAATATTTACTAAAATTTGGCGCAAGTTTTATGACTAATATTTAGACTGGTAATACGTTAATAGGTAATTAGGTATTTATTTATAGGTTGACTTGTTTGAGAAAGCTGATCATGCTAGGAAAGCTGTTGGTGATTTTGTTTACAATAACTTCCAAGACCGCAATATGGTCGTTGTGAGGGTTTAAAAAAGGAACAATAACGCTGGCTGGTTTCAATTTCATGATTTTATACTCCAAAATTAGATATACTAAATCAAATGGAGGTTTCTTTGGAATTTTTATTTTTCCACGGTTCTTAATAATTAAAATTCTGCAAAATCGTGGCGCCAAAAATTCTGAATTGCGGCTGCATGTATAAATAACTGAGGTTATCTGCAGCCGGCATTTCAGAACATTAGCAATTTTTACCGATGGTAAATATCTCCGCAACATTCCTTCTAACTCATCCAACACCTAATTAATTTGTAGAATATAGTTAAATTCAATAATTTGTATATTATTTTAAAAATTGTCTGCACCTACGATTTTGAAACCACAACCACCAAGAATGAAAAGATGATTTTGAGGCTATCATCTGTTTAACTACCCAACAGCGCTATGACAGACTTCTGTTAAAGTTTCTATGAGTTTCTTAAGGCCCAATTGATAATTCTAACCGAAACTCTTGTGTACGTGTGAACGTTCTTCTCCTTCTTACGCTTATAAGTTGCACGGTGTGTATGTCACTTTCCGCGTTAATTTCTTCAATTTATTTGAGTTTCCGTAGCCGAGACTTGCTGCAATATTATCCAAAATTAGGCTTCACATTTGGTATTACGAGACTATATCGTTATGTAGCTTTATTAAGTGAAATTTGTAATTCTAGTAATGGTATAAGAAATCGATGGTCAAAATAAACTATAGATACTTTCAATTGTTTTGCAGCTAGTTTGCTGGGATCATCAATAAATAAGTGTATGTATGTACATATGTATATACATATGTATGTTCTATAGGTAATTGACGTGCTATTTATAAGTTATTACTACTCTTTTTGAGAACGTCAATTGTTTGGCTGGTTTCATTAAATAGTCATTAAATGGGAATTAGTTACTACTTTATTATTCCTTTCAAAGTCTCAAAACTCATGTTAAAAGAAGATCCACTTCAGGATTTAATATCGCAATAACGAAGCTGCTTTAATTCTGATCCTTTAAGAAACATACCTTCTATCTATGGTATATATACGAATAATAAAACAGCTTGGGAGAACGTTATTACATACAAATACATATATTAATATTTATACATGCGTATAAATCTACATATTAATGGAACTCTTGAATTTGTTTATATAAATATATGTTAGTACGTATGTACCTGTGGACAAATCAAGATCTCTCAGTGGTTATGTTAATGTAAAACATTCACTCTCATCAAATTATTTTGCATGAGGACATTAGAGTACTTAATTTAAATTATTGTTTTATATATTATTTATAAAAAATTTTACTCCTCAATAAAATTAAACGTTACTGCTATTTACATATTTCATAACAAAATTAAAATGTAGAGAGTTACTCTAAAATTTGTAGTTTACAAAGATATTTTGTGCTTGGCGAGTAGAGAGGGTTTAAAAATTCTCGGCGAGCTGCACAACACTGTCCAAGCCATACAATTTTTTAATAAAAGCTATTAAAAATATTTAGGCGTATTGTTATGGAATAATTAGCGTTGGTCCACATGAGTCTTAAACAACGCAAAAAGCGCCACACATGCATAACACTTGGGTATTTGATTTTAAATCATATCGTATGCCTCTCATAATAACCTCTTGTAATGTTACATAATGTATGTAAATGTTAGTGTTTATCTTTTTTACCTTTATAAGAGATATACACAAAAAATTACTGCTGATTCAATTAAAATATCAAACGTCTAACTTGCGTCTACTTCTGATTATTTTGAGAGAATGGATTTTTACCACCCCAATTACCAGAGCATTTCTTGAAGTGTGAGAAACAGAATTGAATTTTTATCAGTAGGAATTAAATTGCAAATGTACTATCGAAAAAAAAATAAATATTTCTTCCAGAAATAGTGCACAGACAAAGGCTTTGGTGAAACACCACCGATCTTAGTAGGAGATTCAAACGCTTTTTTTCTTAATTCCTCCCTCGTTACAAATTTAAGTAGCAAGTGTTAGGTAATAGAAGTACTCTTTTATTATGTTTTTTTAAGTTATTTCCTTGCTATATGAACGTAGATATTACTACTTATGGGTACCTTATGCATGGTCTCTTTGAGTAGTAGGAAGTGTAGTGTGGTGGTTAGGTTTTCTAATTATTGTATGCTGCTTTATTATGTTAAAAAAACACCATCTACATTTTAACCAAAATATTTTATAATTATTTTGAATGGCGCCATGATAAATAAAGATTGCCCTCATAAACGGTTTTCGAATTCCTAAAAAAAATCTTTGCATGTATTAGAAATATAATTGATTATTTTTTCAAAGGGTAACAAAGCCAGATGTGAATGAAGTTTTTGTTAACTGGTATTGTTGATTTTAAAAGACTGTCTTTAAAGAGCTTTAGCTGTATGTGTACCTACAAGTAAGCTCGCATACGTACATTGAAAAAATTTTGCATTAAAAAAGCTTTATATATTTCTTGTTTATATTAATTTCGTTCTTGTCATATTTATGGCGATTGCACACATGTGAAATTTATGATAGTTTTCATACATACATAATGCTTAGTATTCGATATGTCACTGAATTATATTGGGAGTTCTATAGTTAATCTTTCGTAATTTCTTCATTTGTTTCCATTACCATTTACAATACAAAATTTATATTTTTTCCTTGGGATATTTGTGTACATATATAGAAATGGTTGTGCCACATCCGAGGATCTCTTTTGGAAATTAGATGCCTTACAATCGTTCATACGTGATCTCCATTGGCCGGATGCAGAGTTTCGTCAACATTTGGAGCAACGCCTGAAAATGATGGCAACTGAAATGATTGAACAATGTATCCAGCGTACGGATTCATCATTTCAGTCGTGGCTAAAGAAAAACGTGGCCTTCATTTCAACCGATTATATAATACCTTCGGAGATGTGCGCAATGGTTAATGTGATATTAGATGCTAAAAATCAAAGCTTTAAACTAACTACAATAGATGGTATTGATTTGGTAGGTACAATTTTATACCATATAAAACAAAAACTAATTTTTTAATCAATATCTTTTTATGCATATATACGAGAACATATACCATGTGTATGCCAAAATATCTGCAATACATATGTATTAATAGTAATTTTATATTTCAATTGTTTAAATTCGTAAACTGATTCTGAAGGAAATGTTGGAGATCCTATAAGATATATATAAATATAAATGATAAGCACGACGAGCTATTTTTGCCATGTCCATCTGTCTGTATATAAGCGAACTAATCTCTCAGTATTTGAGATATCGATCTGAATTTTTACACAAGTCCTTTTCTCCCAAAGAAGCTGCTCATTTCACGGAATCGGACGGCTATAGCGTATAGCTGCCATACAGATTGAACGATCAAATACATGTCCTTTTATAGAAAACTATTTTTTTTTTGGTGGGATATCTTCACGCATAGACTATTGTCCAAAACAGTGCTACAATATTCGAACAATTGGTTCAGATCAGACAACTATGGTATATAGTTACCATATAAACTAAATGATCAAATACATGGCCTTGTATGAAAAACATTTTTATTTGACGAGGAATCTTCACGGAATTTGGCACACTTTATTGTTCAAGGCAACGGTACAATTTCCGGAGAATTCGGTCGGTAAAGCAAATAGCTGCCATACACACTAATCTATGCCGACCATATCTGATACTACTCAAAGTCACAAAGTCTTTTGAGATAGTTGCGCAAGCTAATGGCGCTTGTCACACGTTCAATATTATTTGTGATAATGGGATTGTGATCCATATTAGGACTTGATAAATCGCGAGTGAATGCGACACATTCAATACTTATCGCGCCAGTATCTATTCGTAATAACCCCTGTTTTTGAAAAAAAAAGGTTTTTAAAAATGGCTTTGATTTATTATATGTCATTTCCCGTTTTTTAGACGAATTGTCGTAAGAAAACGGAAGAAAACCGTGTTTGGCTCTGAAGTAAAAATTCAAAGACAGCATTGAAGAAGAAAAGGCTGGGAACCATTGTGAAGAATTATTTGAAAATGCTAAAATGTTTATATAAATATAAAAAAGTGAGTAATAATAAATATCAATACTTTGTTCTCTTGTATCTCGAATTTACATACAAAATGAGCGAAAATTTCAATATTCATCGCGCGATCCACAATCCGCCATCTGGATTGTTTTTAATAAACGTATTTAAATATTTTGTGATATGGATCGAAATTTATTGTTATGTCATACAAAACGTTTAATCGATATCGCAATCCTGGATCGCGGTCATCATATATTAAACGTGAAGCAGCCGCCAATGGCGCTATGATTAGATCAGATGATCAGATAGCCAATCAATGATAACACTGGTCAACACAATTTTAGCTTTTTTTGTCACATGATATATGAATCATATCAAGTTTTGAATGTGCTAGGGCCATTAAATAATAATATGTGAATGAAAATTTACTCGTCAGGCTTTTATCAAAACTATATTATATATTCTTAAAAATTACAAACATCAGCTGTATTTATAGAAATTATTGCTCAATATAGAAAAAAATGCTTATGATTTTCGTCAATATTTGGCTACTGGAATGTCTTCTTTAAGTCTCCAACAATAATCTACTAACATTCCTGCGCTCCATATTCCCTGATAGCGCTTCTCCATTAAGGAAATGTCTCGCCTTGTTTGTCACTCTCATCCAGATGAGAATTTAGAATTTGTATTTTTAAGGACATATTACACCTAAAAGCTTTATAAAATATTATATATTCATTTATTAAGTCTTTGTAATTTCTCGATTATTGGTTACCTAGAAAATTCAGCCTGATTTTTAGACATATTCAAATCACGTACTAAATCTTTAAAATCACTTTGTGTATATAAGTGCGATTCTTTTAAGTGGATGGCTTTCTTTTATATTAGACAGAGCCCGTTTAAATTCCAGCCATAACCATGTCGTAACCATTCCCGTATAAAAATTGGAAGAATTGTTGCTTACAAGAGTTGGGTCATTTTTTCTGAAGTTCGCCTCACTTGTTCTTATAAATGTATCCAAGTCTTCGTATCAATTTTAATTTTTTCAAACTTTCTTGTCTGTAAGAAGGACAAACTGTTTATTGACGCGTATGTTATTTGCGCTATAGTTGTATTAGATCGTGTTAGTCGCTGAAACCATTTTTTAAGGTGCCGAACCCGGAGCATAGTAATTTATACAAGAATCCAAGTGGTCCATTGGCCCAATATTTAGGAGACGGCTTTATGTCCGGTCAATAATTGTCAACCGGAAATATTTTCAAAATGCTTTATGTTTTCATTACGTATTCTTTACAAATTAGTCGTCTGCTTCTAAGTAAACGACTGCTGATATATACTCTATAATAATAATGAAGAAATATTAATTAATAAGATTATTATTATCAGCTTGATTGGGTAATGCTTATAGGTATATGATATCATTATAATATATAGACACTTTTGAATGTGTTTTATTGCATATTTTTAGTACAAATTTCATGCAAAAATTGATGACCAAATCGATAAAGCGAATGTAGCTATGACACAAGGACTCAGTAGTAAACTTATGTCTGTGCTAGAGTCGACTTTGTCGAAACTGGCACGTTACGACGAAGGCAGCTTGATTGGTTCCATACTTAGCTTTACAAACGTGTCCAGCTCAGGGAAGGACCTCGGTCAAGGTTATGTAAATTTCTTTCGTAATAACATGGATCAAATACGTGGTAAAATCGGTGACGATTTGTGGACACTAAACTTTTTCGAACAGTGGTATACGCAGCAGATTAACATGCTTTGTAATTGGCTCTCCGAGAGGCTAGATCATGCTCTCCACTATGCTCAAGTTACGTCCATATCACATATAACAAAGGTGCGTAAATAGATATTGGTGTAATGTCATCTTATGTTAATAATAGCACAAGCCAAAAAATGAGCCTAACATATATGTCAAAAAATTTGCAATTGTGTTACTTTATATTATATAATAAATATAAGTACATATATATATATATATATTTATGATCGCTTAATTATTTTTTTAAACTATTATTCGCAGAAAATTTATTCCGATTTTGAGCTGCAAGGAGTACTAGAGGATAAACTCAATTCCAAAGCATATCAAACTGTTGCCCAACGTATGGCCACTGAGGAGGCGACGTGCGCTTTAACCATGCCCGATGTTGCCGAGTGTGACGAGTAAGCAACAAATGAAATCTTTAGTTTAATATATAGGTTTTTAGTATAAAGTTTATTTATTGAAGGAGCGTGGACGGGCTAAAAGGTGAAGGAGCTGACGAAGATGGCGCCGGTGAAGATGGTGGTGGTGGTGGAGGCGCTTCACGTGGTTTACCCAAACCGAAAATTGCCGCCGCACAAGCTGCAGCCGTAACTAACGTCGTGGCTGGTCGGGTTGGCAATTTATTAGGAAAAGGTATTGGTGGACTTAGCTCAAAGTTGGGAGGTGGAAGCTGGTTTTAAAGCCAACCCAATGTAACGTATTGATATTAAGGAGCCTAATAGCGATTCACGGGCAAAAAGAATTGATCGGTATTACGGCGGTTATATAGCATACAACCATATAACAAAGCTACAACGTGAACTTTTAAATATGTACATGTATATGCCTGTAATAATATTCTTACATACATATATATCTAATATATACCTAATAAAGCTTATAAATACGAATTATATTAATCTACATACATAACACCTATGTTTCTACAATAGTTAACCATAAAAAAATGTTTGCTAAACGGTAAAATTATTAAACATAACAACGTTTTATTCAATACCTACAGTAAGTTAATAAATTTTTCTTCCTTTTCTGATATAACATTTAAGAACTAGCGAAAACCTAAAAAAAGTTAAAAAATTTTTATGTTACTAGAAGCTAAGACGTATATAGATATATATTCTAATATACTACATATGGTTTTAAATATACATACGTACATATTCATATATATATATTAAACAATGAGCGTCTCACTGAAATATCGTATCGATTTCTCAAGATAGGTGATTTTTTTTCGATATTAACAGCAACATTTATGCTATGTCTTTATACATATAATAATTATATATTTCCATGTACACGCTTTTATCTGCATTATATTATAAATGCTATCTGAAATTAGGCGAGAGTATAGAAAATACTATTATCAATTTTTATATAAATTATTTAATTTAATTATGAATACTAATAATCTGTACGTCTTTAAACGTTTACCGTCGCGGAAATCTTGCGAAAATGTTCGTAATTGATAAATATAAAAACGTTTAAAACAGGGCAATATACTCACTTTGATACTGAGAGCCAAGTCCATGCAATAGAAACATATAACAAAATCTACAATATATATCCAGTTTCACTATCTCGCAATTTAACACCAGCCTTACACGTGCATATGTAGTACATACACAGCGGGAGTACAATTTTACTGAGTTTCACCAACACCACCAATACTACTGCTACATCACCATTAACACAACCACCGCTCCAATAATAACCTAAATTCAGGATAAGATTAATGTCAAGAAACACTTGAAATATTAATTATACATTCTTCATGGAACTGCGAATACAGTAGTACCTCGATATAAAATACATTTCTTTAACGAAAATCCTGAATAACGAATAAGATAAATTTAGTGAATCATAAAAAATTTAAAAGAAGTTAAGAAAATTATTCATGAATGTCTTTTGAAAATATTCACCAAAGATAGACTACTTCCATTTTTTGGAATGTACTTAGTAAACGAAGTTATACTTAGATGTAATACCTCATACTTATTATTTTCATTCTTTATTAGTGTAAGCTGCTTAGAGAAAAAAGTATAATCCTAGACTCTAATAACTGTCAAAAAAAATATGGCATTGAGAAATTTCTTTGAGAAAAGTTATAGTGGATAAATAAACCTATTTGATTTATTTACTCCTTTTAATGTTTTGAACTTGTAAATTAACCAGGTTAAGTATGAAGAGAGAAAGTATCTGCTAACTTGGTCTTCCTTATTATTGAGGTCAACTTATTTCCCGTTACTTTTCACTTTTTTGACGCGTAGTGTTGTCGATGTTCAACTGTTCGTGGTAACTTGGTTTTAACGTCATTTACCAGATAATTTGTTGTAAAAAAGCTGCTCATTTGTCGGAACCGACCATATCGGACAACAAAAGTATATAGGTGCTATATATACTGAACGATGTAAATCAAGTCTTTGTATGATAAACTTTTTATATAACAGGATATCTTTTTATTTGATTTCTCTTTTTCTTCACTAAATTTGGCACAGCTTATTCTCCAAGGCAGCATTACAATCTTCAAACACATCATTCTGTTTAAAGGATTGTAATTACACAGATATATGTAACAGTATTTTATATCGAAAAACTATTTTTGCGCAGAAATTGTTAGCTACACATATATTACCGTTGCATTATACGAGTATAGAGTATCTAAACGAGTTTTTAAGAGTGAAATTTGCAGAGAAATAATTTCAATTAACCTAAAATATATTAAGAGTTATTATTACAAGCATACAAGTATATACATATACGATATGTACCTATGTATATAATACTTTAATAAGTAACATATAATTAATATATCAGTCATATATAGGATATATTCCGAATGAACAACTTTAGTTCAGCTCTATGTTAGAACTTATTATGACTTGTTTAATATAACTAAAAATAATTGCATAGAGAAAACCAATAAAATCAACACGTATATGGACATAAAAATAAAATAATTTACATAAATAACTGTATACATGTATGTATGTATGTAAATTATACATACATACAAATCGGCATATTTAAAATACTTACGTACAGTTAACTCGCGGTAACTTCAATACCCTTAAAACTTGTTTAACCACTAACTCGAACTCGCTTTAGTCCATTGAACAATTTCATAAATCAATAATTAATTCGTGTATATAGGTACATATACATATATCCTTTTACTGAATAACAACATCCTTTTCTCATTAATACAATAAGAAATTCTTCCGAAAAGGGATTGATTGAAATAGCTTATCTTGAACAGTTACTTAATACTGATATAAATGTATTTAATCGCGAAAAATTTCCGTTGCATGTTTCTCAGTGCAAACCACACACATTAACAACTGAAAAAAATATGTCATCTCGGACGTGGATACTAATTATAATTGTATCGAGTTATCGTGGGTGCTCAGTATGTGCACAAATATGTACAAGTAAGTGAATGTACTTATGTACATATGTATATCTAAAGATAAAAATTTTTTTAGCAAATAAATCAATCAAACAATAAGCACCAAAAAAACACCAAAAATATATATATTGAATCGAATTATTGTAATTTAATTATATAAAGTAATAATTTTAATTATAAGAAATATTACAATGTATCGCATTGAAACTGCAAATACATTACATATACATACATTTACAAGTACCAATAAGTCTACAAATGTACGTAAATATATGATAATAATATTTGCAGGTGTATGTGCGCAGAACACAACTAGGTACGTACTTGTGTATATAAGAAGTATATGGTAGTAGGTATATATAACTTAAACATAAATATAGAACTTAAACATAAATATGTACCATGTATGTAATTGAATGCTAAATTGTATCCAGCTTCTATATCATACATACATACATGTAGAAAATTCATGCTTACTATGTAAACTGTGAACTGTGATGTGCATGTATGTACAAGAGTGGAGCGAGAACAAAAGTTGTTTTTTTTTGCTTAGCCCGAGGGTAAAATTTGTAGATTAAAAAAAAAGAAAATTGTTTGACAAAAATAAATAAATTATTTTAACATCTAGCGCCCCACTCAGTTTTAACGTAAATTTTCGAGCTAAAATTTTTATTTCGTAAAAAACTTTTGATAAGCTGCGGAGAGTTCTCTTTCTGACCAATTAAAAGTTATCACCTTAAAATAATTCTTTGTGGTCATTATTGGAGTTTTAAAAGTCTTAAGCGATAACATGGTTTCCTTAAGCGTTAAAATAAATTTTGAGTCAAAAACCGTCACATTCGGTAATTTTTATATAAATGTAAAGAGTTTAAGCCAAAAATTATTTTTTCTTGTTCAAAAAAACTTTTAACTCGAAATTTACTTTAAAACTGAGTGAACTCTAGATGTTAAAAAAAATTTTGTTTTTTTTATAATCTATAGATTTTACTCTCAGGCTAAGCAAAAAAAAAATTTAGTATGTACCATATACATATATTGAGCTTATTCCATTTTCGCACCTCGCCAATATAAAAGCGTTTAATTCTTGCAAATAATGGAAATATTCACTCTTATAATTATGTACATACATATTTGTACAAGGAAAACAAATGTTAACCCAAAGGATTGGTATTATGAAGAAACAGTTGCTTAACTCTCAAATAAAAACTTTCAGTCAAGTTGAAAAATAATTATAAAATTATATTTTTTCTTTTGAATAAAGTTTAACAATGAAATGGAGGCGCCTCTTAATTTTAACAATTACATACATTTGTACATAAAACGTTAATACATTTATTTCAAAAATATTTTATTACAGCTTTTGGATTAAAGTATTTGATTACAGTAAATTTTTAATAAAACATTGTTTTCCTACTCGGAATCTCGACACATGTAATCAGGGCTACCTTTGACAATAATATATTCCCGAATTTCGTGATATAATATAATATTATTTTTCTAGTAAAAAAGTTTTCATGCTCGAGCTTTATATGGATCGGTCAGTTTGTATGACAGCTATATGCCACAGTGGTCCAATCCGAACAATATCTTCGGAGATTATAGTATAATTTGTACCAAATTTTTTGAACAGAGCTTGTCAAATTAAAAAGTTTTCTATACAAAGACTTGCGTGATATGTGTGGCAGCTATATGCTATAGTAAGCCGATATCGCCAGTTCCGTCAAATGAAGAATCTGCGTGACGAGCTGAGCCGATTTAGCCATGACCATCTGTCTTTATATATGCGAACAAGTCCCACAATTTTGGAGATATCGGTCTAAAATTCCGCTCCCGTCCTTTTTTCCTCAAGAAAATTGGCTCAGCTCGTCATTCAGATCCTTAATATACACACTTCATAGAGTCTTCGACACTTCCTTAAAATACCCTGTTCGGCGTATAAAAAGTCTGATTGTCTATAATAGCCGTTTTTTGAAAAAATTTAAATTCTAATTTGGTATTTTTACATTTTTATTCAGGGCAGGTAAGATTTTGAAATGCAGATACATAAGTATGAATGAAGAAACAAATTAAAAACGAACGGTGCATGTTCATGTAAACGTTCTGGAGATCTTTAAAAACGTTCGAATTTTCCCTCCCCCAATATTCCCTATATGTACAGTATAAACCTTTCGATGCATTTTTTAGTTTACATATCGGTGTATCTACCGTAAATCCGTCTTTTGAAGAAACCATTGAATATGTGTTTTTCGCTAAAAGTCGGTGAAAAAGGTGATTGATATCCGTTTATCGTGTTTCCCAGCCTCCGGATACTGTATATCTACATATGTATATCATAACATATACATGTATATATCGGATAGTAATATGTTCAAAAATTATTTCCCTCGCTAAAGTGAAGTTTAGTACCAAAAAAGAGTGGTTAGTCCGTAAAAGCGCTAATATTATCAATGCGACAAGGGTCACAAAGGATCCCACTTGAACAGCTAGGAACGTGGGTCATTTGTGATGTGAATAATGCAGGTATAGATCAAACGAAGCTCATAACTCAACCTCAGTCTAGCGAAAGGTGAACAGTGGAGATGTGAGTGTCGATATATATTTACTTTGCCTTCCTGCAACAGCGACAAACGTGCACCTTTCTAAGGTGCATTTATTGCAATGGATAGATAAGGCGCTAGAACGTATTGGACAGCGGATCACCGTCAGTTCCCAGTCTGATAAAATCGGGCTGTCGTGCTAGCTACTTAGCGAATTCAGAATTCTCGAGCATCCTACAAACAATCCATGAAACCCTTTCTGTCAGTTATATTGATTTGAATAGAAGCAAATTCGTTGAAAAATATATGTAACATTTTATTTCTATTGTAAAAAAAAAAGTATTAAAATTTCTTAAAACCCAACGACAACTTAATGAAGGCAACTCAACAATACATAAGTATTAAGCTATTTGGTTTTGTTCTCAACATCCCTAGGGGGGTAGTTAAACATAAGGAAAAGACTTTACACCCACAGAATATTTTCTCTTGAAGTTGTATGGCTTCAGTACAAAAGCTGTTTACTCGCAAACCGTATCACATTCTCTGACAGTATCACGATTTAGAAAATATTTTAAAAATTAGAAAGGCATAAGTAAAAATGTGTTCTGAAAATAGGAACTAAAAGTGTTTTAAATATTAATAGTGGTATTATTTTAGGAGAAAGGCCTGCATACAAAACGTACCGAAAAACAGATACTCCCTGCTTTGAAATCTTTGTTGAATTATAAAAATATAATACTTGTTACCACATTTTTGTATGTTTAATTTATAAATATGAGTTTGAAACTGCTACAGTACTACAGTAATGCTACAGTAGTTTACGGTTAAATACATCTGACAATACAATGAACATACTCGAAAACAAAATATTATCAGGGAAAGTTAAAAATGATTTTTCTTTTAAGCGAACATTTCATATTTCTTTACTTATACTAATAGTAGTAAAAGCCTCATCTTCACTGCAGCCAGTCGTCCCTGTGGGTGAGTGTATGTGCCGCAGTTAATCCCAGTTTGATTTGGAATATAATAATTTATAATAAAGACATTTTTGTTCATAGGCTTTGTGCCAAACTATAGAAAAATTTAAATTCTGACAGATAAAAGTGAAATTTTGACTTTTTTGTGGTGAATCCGAATGTTAGAATTTTAGGCAGCTCCCGAGCTAGGTAAAATTTTGACAACTTACAAATATAAAACAGACTTGCATTCAGAAATAAACGAATTTAGAGGAATTGCTGCATACATAATTTGTATGTTATTAATTCGTCATTATTCATTTGTTTATGTTTTAAATGATACTATAAAAAAGGAAAGTTCTTGACTCCTTTGAATTTTTTTTATTGATCCGAAATATTGCAAACTAAAACTAAGATGAAAGAATTAAGTAAAAATACTATTTTTATAACTGATGAAAAGATCTTAATTTAAGTGAATTTGAAGAAGATATAATAATCCTTGTATATATTATATTGCGATATAATTATGTATGTACAACTGTATATAAATCGGTTTGTTAATTAGTGTGAATTGAAGAAAACACTAAGGAAATGTGATTCCTTAGAACATGTGATTGATTTTGTCCAAGCTATCCAGGTGCATCTGGTTAAACATTATCACCAGCTACAGTTAGTATATACATATATACTTACATATGTACATGGTATAGATGGACTATTGTTACACAGAGGGTAATAGTCTTTGTTTGTAAAACTAATCGAGATAGACATAGAGTAATGTATATCAAAACAAGTCTGAAATTTTTATTTGGCAAACAAATTCAATACTTATTATTCACCGAAAACGAGAATGGATCATATTTGGTTTCCCACTATCTCCTGAACAGGGTGCCACGAAGTTTGTAACACCGAGAAGGAGATCCGTTGGATACCCTATAAAGTATATACATATGTATGTACCTATATAAATAATCAGCGTGACGATTAAGCTAAGTCGATTTAGCCTTGTCCGTCTGTCTGTATATACGCAATCTAGTCCTCAGATTTCCTCATTTCCTTTTTAAAAAATTCACAATCAGAAATGTCATTAACTCACGGTGGTTTGACGGATATAGATGCATCCGATTTATGCAACGAAGTACAAGCAATTAGCAGAAGAATTGCTCATAAAAGTACACCACTGGACGTTTTAAATTATTTCCTTTCAAATTTATTAACGGCAACATGGATGTAGCTAATACTTCCTGTGTCGGTAGCTTGTGGAGAGCGCAGTTTCCCTAATTTAAACTTTCGAAGAAAGATTGGCAGGCTTGGCAACATTATCAATGGAAAATGAAGGCCATAAACTCTTAACAATTGTGCCTGATTTTCCAAATAAAAGGCACGAAGATTTAAATATTAGGTAAAGTAAAAAGTTCGTCCGGTTTTTATCTAAGATATGGCGTTATTGTCCATAGCATTAGTGTTACGTGTCGCATCATGTCATACGCTGAAAATGTGTTTATTCGCGCTAAAAGTTTGTCTTTGACAGTTTTTCGATTGATTTACTCAGTTCGTTGTGAGCGCTCGTCAAAGATGGACACCAACAAAGAGAAAATTCGCTATATTTTACAATTTTTTTTCGATCAAAGCGGCTGAAAACATTAATTTAGTTTATGGGCCCGATACTGTAAACGAACGTGTAGCACAAAAGTGATTTGCTAGGTTCCGTTCCGGTAATTTCGATGTCAAAGATGCACCACGCGTCGGGAGGCCTGTCGTCGAAAATTGCGATAAAATCATGAAAATAGTGGAAACAGATCGTCACGTGGCACTTATTTAATTGCTAAGGTACTAACCATTTGCATAACCTTGGATTCAAAAAGGAGCTCGATGTTTGGGTGTCACACGAACTAACGCAAAAAACATGATGGACCGAATTTCCATCTGCAAATCGCTGCAGAATCGCAACAAAATCGACCCGTTTCTGAAGCGGATTGTGACTGGGATGAAAAATGGGTCACTTATGACAACATCGAGCGCAAACGGTAGTGGTCAAAGCTCGGGGAAGCGGCTCAGATGGTGGCCAAGACCAGGAAGGTTTTGCTGTGTGTTTGGTGGGATGGGCAAGGAATGATCTACTGCGAGCTGCTCCCCTATGGCCAAACGCTCAATTCGGCCCTCTACTGCCAACAACTGGACCGCTTGAAGGCAGCACTCATCCAGAAGAGGCCATCTTTGATCAACAGAGGCCGAATTGTGTTTTATCAGGACAACGCCAGCCACACACGTCTTTGGTGACTCGCCAGAAGCTCCTGGAGCTCGGATCGGAGGTTCTAATGCACCCACCTTATAGTCCGGTACTGGCACCAAGTGATTACTATCTTTTCCTGTCCATGGCGAACGCGCTTAATGGTGAGAAGTTGGGCTCAAGAGAGGCCTGTGAAAATTGGCTCTCCGAGTTTTTTGGCAATAGTGACGCAGTCTTCTACAAGAGGGGTATAATGAAGTTGGCAACAAGTTTACGAACAAAACGGCGCATATTTGACTTAAATCGGACAAATCTATACAAAGTTATCATCTTTTGAAAAATCAATAAAACACCGAACGAACTTTTTACTTTACCAATATTTAATTTTTTATTGTACTACTACTTAAAATCTTTTTAAATAATTATATTAAACCATTAAAAAATTAGTATTTTTTTATACTCTCGCAACCTGTTGCTACAGAGTATAATAGTTTTGTTCACCTAACGGTTGTTTGTATCACCTAAAACTAATCGAGTTAGATATAGCGTTATATATATATAAATGATCAGGATGAAGAGACGAATTGAAATCCGGGTGACTGTCTGTCCGTCCGTCCGTCCATGCAAGCTCTAACTTGAGTAAAAATTGAGATATCTTTATGAAACTTGGTAGACATGTTTCTTGGTACCGTGAGACGGTTGGTATTGCAGATAATCGGACAACTGCCACATCCACAAAACGCCAATAATCAAAAACAAATAAATTGCCATAGCTAAGCTCCGCAATAAGATACAAGAGTGTTATTTGGTAGGGAGGTATCTGTAGTTAAAAATTTTTTTTAAAGTGGGCGTGGTCCCGCCCCTAATAGGTTTAATATGCATATCTCCTAAACCGCTTATGCTATAATAAGAAAATTCACCGGAAGCAAATTTTTTTAGAACCTCTACCTACAGTGTGAAAATTGTTGAAATCGGGTGGCAACTCCGCCCACTCCCCTTATAACGGTACTGTTAAAAACTACTAAAAGCGCGATAAATCAAGCACTAAACACGCCAGAGATATTAAATTTTATCTCTGGGATGGTATGAGATGACTTTATAGGAACCGCGTTCAAAATTAGACAGTGGGCGTGGCACCGCCCACTTTTAGGTGAAACCCCATATCTTGGGATCTGCTTAACCGATTTAAACCAAATTCGGTGCATAACGTTCTTTTCATATTTCTATGTTATAGTACGAAAATGGGCGAAATCGGACTACAACCACGTCTATTTCCCGTATAACACCATTTTCAATTCCATCTGATTCTTTCACTTTCCACTATGCATATCAAGCAACAATGATTATATCGGGGTAAAACTTTGCGTGAATAATACGTTTAAGGTATGCCACCTTGTGACCAAAAATTGTCTAAATCCAACTAAAACTGTTCAAGCCCCTAAGGACTAAATATGTGGACCCCAGTGCCTATAGTTGACCTTCTACCGAAAATATCAGTCAATCCACAAAGAAATTTCAAACGAGTATACCATTTGACTTTGCGAGCGTATAAAATGTTCGGTTACATCCGAACTTAGCCCTTCCTTACTTGTTTTTATATATAATTAACTGAATAAAAGTTAGAAATTTTGTTGTTAAGGCAGAAAAGCCTTAGAATTGGCGGATCCGGCCCTGACTGACCGACATATATTGTATTAAGTCAACCAGAAGTCGAAAATCCTTATATTAGTTATATGGAGGATAGGGAATTATAGACCCGATTTTTGGAAAAAAAGTTGCATTATTGTTAGAAAAGGCGTACTCTAAATTTTAATTAAATACCTTAAATATTCACCCATATTTTCGATTAAAGTCAGACATAGGCACTGAATTCCACATGGTATCAAGATATTATACGTCGAAGGCATTATTTTGATATTTTCTAAATTGTACAGAAATAAAATACTGTAAAGTAAAAGAATTACATTTAATGTAATATATGGGAAGTAAGAAGTTTATGACAAAAGTAAATGCAATAAGCTCAGAAATTCCCTATATAGCCTATATATAGATCTGACTTTCCAGTAGACTTTATATATGTATATGAATATCGGACAATATGTGTGACGTTTTAATATATTAATCGGGCGTATGTGACCACGATGTGGTTTACGTTAGTTACAATATAACAAATAAAACATTATACAAATAATTACATTTATTACTGAAATATTAAACCTTTCTTTGAAATTGGCATCCGATACTAAATTAATACTTTTTGCATATACATACATATATATGAATTAGAGTCTATTATTCATCGTAGGTGCCATCTCTTCCGACATACAGGATGGTCCGATCGATCTCGCCTTCAAATACGCTATACACAGCATCAATAAGGATGCAAGCTTGATTCCAGAGTCGAAAATGACATTCGATTTACAGCACGTGGCCAACGATGATTCATTTCATGCCTGTCAAAAAGGTATGCAAGTCATATGAATGTGTGATTTTATACACTAGGCGTCACAAGTCTATTGCTCTCAGTAAGCTAATATGTTAACGCAACTAATAATGCATCAAGAAAATGCATTCGTCAAAAGTGTACGATAATCTCATTTCAATAGAAGTTATAGTATCGTTCACGCGACGGTTTTAAATTTTTATTAAAATTGGTTATTGATATATTTAGACGATTAGATTAATATTATTTTTAAACTCATTAACTATGTAACTACTGACTGGTAAATATAATTTTACATATATGTATATATTTTAAGTTTGCGCCCTAATCGAGTCAGGCATACACGCGGTTTTTGGACCATTTAACACTATATTGGGAGTTCATATTCATTCAATATGCGATGCCCTCGATATACCACACATAGAATCACGATTATCACATAAGGTGGCCAATACAGAGTTTTCCATTAATTTGCATCCAGCGAAAGAGTACGTGAACTTAGCATTCGAAGATATCATTCGTTACCTGAATTGGACCAAGGCAGGAATACTTTATGAGAAAGATTTTGGTATGATAAAATAACTTTTAATACATTCATGTAAGCGATGCAGCAGGAAGTTAGTTTTCCATATCATTAAGGCTCGTTGGTCACGACCGAACCTTTCCCGCACATTCAAACTCGCTTTAAACTTACCATACGATAAAAACTTGAAATATATAGATATATTGCTTTCGTAAATGGGTTGTTGTTGTTGTAAGGCTTATCCAATCCCCCCCGCTTGGGTGGTAAGTTTTAGTTTGGTTGTCGTCGAGATCATCTAACAGGAGGCCCAGAAAACGAGCTGTTTCGACGGGGTCGAACCATAGGGAGACGGGTGTTAGATGAGTGGAGTTCGTTGGGCATGCAAAGAGGTGGTTAGTGCCATACGGAGACTCATTGCATGCTGAATATATATTTGGTATGTCGGGGTCGATTCTGGATAAGTTGGAGTTTAACCTGCTACAATATGCAGAACGAAGTTGCGCGAGGGTCACTTTAGCTCAGGCAACTCGAGCTCTTCGTCTACGATGGGTGGTGGTTTGACTCCAAGCACGCCATTCACTGAGAGGGAGTAGGTAAGGTTGTTGATGGCTCCGCTTTGAATGGCGGTCAGTGCATGTCTGAAGTTAGTTGCGTCCAAGTTCTGGTCGGTGTCCTATCCAATGTCGTCGACGTAATCAAGGAAGGTACGGAGGTAGACTTACCCTAGAATCCCATCGGAAATGCGCTAAGGCGAAAAGTAAAAATTGTTTTTGAACAGACTCTAACTTGTCAGAATGGATTTGGTAGCTAGGGTTCCATACCACAGAGCCATATTCCAATATAGGTCTAACCAAAGTTGTATAAAGTATTTTAGTAATATACGGATCTCTAAATTCTTTAGACCAACGTTTAACAAAACTGAGGAGAGCTTTTGCTTTCAAGACCATGGTATCAATATGAAGACTAAAATTAAGCTTAGGGTCCATATTAACTCCCAAATCAACATAGTTAAAAACTTGCTCTAGAATATGATGTTTTATTACATAAGAAGAGTGGTGCACAGATCTACGGGAAAAGCACATCATCTTACATTTATTGAGATTCAATGGCAAATCATTTCTATCACACCATGCAACCAAATTGTTTAAGTCTGTTTGCAACAGACACCTTTCTTCAGTTGAAGTGTATGATTTAAAAAGCTTTACGTCGTCAGCGTATAACAAAATATTTGAGAATTCTATTACTGAAGAGATATCGTTAATAAACAAGAAGAACAGAATCGGGCCAAGATGACTACCTTGCGGAACACCAGAAGAAACATTAATTGTATCTGAAGGTGTATCCTCAAATATCACTCGTTGTGTTCTATTATAAAGATAGGAAGATACCCATTGAAGGAATCTTGGCTGAAAGCCCAGCAGATCAAATTTATGTATGAGAATCGAGAGATTTACCCTATCGAAAGCTTTGCTAAAGTCTGTGTATATAACATCCGTATGCTTATGTTCCCTAAAACCCAATGATACATGGTTTACAAATTCAAGTAAGTTTGTTATAGTCGAATTCTCTTTACGAAATCCATGCTGAGATGAGGAAATTAACGGAGAAATCGAAAAGGTTATATGGTCAGTGATAATAGCTTCAAAAAGTTTAGGTATAACTGATAGTTTTGCGATACCTCTATAGCTTTCAATGTTGGATCTAAACCCACTTTTATGCAAAGGAGTTATGAATGACTGTTTCCATATTGAAGGAAATATACCGTGTTTTAACTATCTCCTCGATCGTGCTCTGGAGTCCGTTGCAGCTGCGGTAACGCAGAACCGGCTGTTGTGAAAATTGTTCGTAAATGGGTCCACGACCACGCCTAACTTACATATAATGAAATAGTAACTCCGTTGACTAGTTAGCTTCACCACGATATGTAGGCTACTGAGCTAAACCTCCTTCAAAGGCACATTTTACAGTCACCACAAATAAGTATTGTACCAAAAGGAGATGCAATGTATCCTTATATGCCTCTCGCCTATATACATATTAGGTTCTATTGATGTCTGTCCTTACGCTTGACTTTTTTCATAAATTAGATGTTTAGGGCTAAATTAGATATTTAGGGCTTAGATCAAATAAGATGAGTCGCGATGAACTTCTAAACTAATGAGCCGATTTTTATAAACTTTTACACACTGTATGCAGTGTGCTGGAAGAAATCATGAGTCAGTAGGACAAATCATACCAAGAAATACTGCTCAAAGGATCAGCACATCAGAGAGTCGATCAAAAAAATCTTGAAAACATCGGGACGATCGTCTGCGACAGACTACTGTGAAAACAAGGCCAGCGCGAGAACACCGGTAAAGCATCTCAAATATGGTTGATACTTGCCAAGGTTCGTTCACAACACACACAATGTCACATCGTCCGATAATGCGGCTACTTTGGAGGGTGGGAGAATGACACATTCAACATTCAAGTTGTCATAACTATTCATAACATAACAAACCAAACGCAACATAAAAAAATACTAGAATGCCGCATTGTTGCGAAAAAGTTCAATCATAATTTTGAGATGAGTGCAAAATGGCTCACAAATATACGGCAACGATAAAATTTTCGATGACTCTCTTACTACTGGCTTGTGATTTCAGACAGACCGGTCATTCTTCGGTCGACTGTAGTTATTGAGATAAAAGCATGTTTAAAAAATCGTTCTTACAGCGAAGTTCTGAAACACTTCGATTGACAATAAATTTATGATTTCATGTCCAAAAGTAGTATTATTACGTATTTGGCACTTAGTTGGTGATAGCTTATTCTTCGGGTAACGTTATCCTGACTAAACCGATTAGTGGGTTAGACTTCGAACGATTGGGTCGGAACGTTGCACTTGAAACAAGGAGATTTGGTAAAAAAAATATAAATACGGTGTTATATGTTATGCTCTTTCGTAAAATGTACTTTATGAAGAAGTGAGCAAACATAGCTAGTAATATCAATACTTTTTATGGTTTTCAGGAGTCCTGCAGTTACGCAAATTTGGTCAGATGTATGACATAGAAACATATCTGCGTCTGGTGAATCCCACAACTTACGTTAAAATATTAAATGAGCTGAAAGACAAAGAAATTCACAATCTGATAATCGATACGAACGCTGCAAATATTTCCATCCTACTGAAAGGGGTAAATTACAGTGGTTTATAATTAAAAATTAATGTGTATGTGTTCACCAGTTGGGCAAGTCGCCTTACACCTTTGCACTGCAATGTTTTGTTCCCAACGAGTAAAAGCTGATTCACATACAAGTTTTGCTTCAGACAATCGAATTGATGAAATCTCGAAAGATTTGTCTGGCGATTGGAAAAAAATGAACAACAATTTTGTATTTCTAAAAAGTATTAAGTGAAGGTCGTGAAGTCATCTAATTTGCCTCATGCGAGTCATACATCCACCTCTGTTATTGACGGAAAAATCGAAAGAACTATATAAACAGTGCTCGAAAATTTTCGTCAGAGAAATAGTAGAGTATATCAACATCGCTTATGGATTGACTCAACACATTTTGGTTAATGCTTTGCGTATGTAGTGTGCAAATATATATAATAAATATTTATATTAAAAACAAACTCTTATCAAAAGACCTGAATCTTTTACGTCGGTTTATGAATATGACGTCGAAACTGTCGAAGAATCTAGCGAATGGCGCTCCAAAAATTAAAGAAAACCGGAAGACACTAAAGTCCTCCCAGCCGAGGTTTATAACACCTATTTAGAAGACGATAATAAATATTTGTATTTAAATAAGAAAAATTTTTTTGTATATATTATATATTGCCAGTTCATGTCAAATTTGATCAGACGTATGTCCGGAATTCGGTTCACACCCTAAATGGCTTGAAATTTGCCGAAAAGTTAAAAAAAACTGCCATGTGATTAATTCTTCTGCATTTTATTTGAAATGAAAGGTTATACTACATCCTAAAAACCCATTCCGCAATTTATGGTGTTATTTTATATTTACAAGTACATTGTTATATTTGTATATAGTATCAATATTACTTTTTGAAAATATTTCAATCGATTTCCAGACTTTATGGTTGAACGGAAATAAAATGTTACAATCTAAAAGCCGTTTTCTCAATATATGGTGAAGCGCTTATCCAGGACTTTATCGGCAACATGTTGAATAATGGTTTTCTCAATATCTGTTTGCCAACCATCTGTCAGTTAAGTTCCGGTAGACTTTACCGAAAAAAGGAGTCTTGGTTAGTTTCTAACCATAACATGAAATGAAATCTGTCAGCTGTAAAATCTATAAGCATAGACGACATTCAGACGGGGATTCTATTGTCATTCATTATCATTAGTTATTATGCGTATTTGCATTTGTAGTATAATAAGTTATTTTTAAGGTATTTTAAGCTATAATTTATTTCTATTTGTAATCGGCAGCACTATGTCGTTTTGACAGCTGTCATAGAAGGGGGATTCCGGTTTTTTTCTTTGAGTGTATTCGCAAGGCTAAGAACACGAGGTTGACTAATGAAAAGCAATAATAAAGGTAATCCAGTCAACAGGTACACGTCAGGTGTGGAAATCGAGAGACAAATACCACAAAAAAAGGAAAATTAAAAATATTGAAGAAGTTGGAGTTCGCAATGGTAAATATGCTTACATGCCAGCAAATGATCAATACTTTAGCAGCAGCAGTTGGTATTGATTTTGATAAGGAAGCCACGGTTGTACAACTGCGTGCTCTGTACGATGAGGTGGTTGCTAATCCACCGAGGACCCCAGTTGAGAACATGCCAGGTGAGAGCGTACCAGATGGGGAAGCCCTAGATGAAAACATGTCAGACGGAAAATTGGAAGGTGAAAATGCGCTGGATGTACCAGAGGTCAGCGCCAGCGTTGGAATCGGTGTGGATTCACGATCTTCAGTTGATGACCTGAAGGCTCAAGAAAAACATCTTGATCGCATGCTCGCTATTGCTCGTAAAAAACGCGAAATGGTCGAGCTACAACGGGAGCTTAACTAACTAAGATGTCACGAAATGGATTAGAGATATGGAGGCGATGATTGATGTTTATCGTTACAGTGATAGAGACTAGTTAATTACTGCTCGACATTTTACAATTGGCCACGCTAAAAGATTCATTGATGTTGCCACAGTGCGTTCGTATGAGGGTCTTAAAACTGCTTTGTATTGGAATATCGTCGTTCCTTTTCACTTCAAAATGTTTTCAATCAGCTAAAATCTCGTCGCATTAAACAACGAGAAACACTGCAACAATACGTTGGCGAAATTCAATATTGAGCCGAGCTGAAGTGCTTAAAGCTGATTTGGTTGATATAATCATTGATGGTTTGATAGACAAATTATGTATCGATGTTGTATGGCGCCAATTCAATCAGAGATTTGAAGACTCTAATGGAGCGCTATGAAACGTAGCCGAAAATTTTCGCAGTCTCAGCGCCGAAATCGGCCACACGCGCCACAACTGTCCTCGTCACGCTTTACCAGGAAACAACCGAAATATTGCAGCGGCTGTAGGAGATGATGCAAATCATGAATCCATCAACTGGCTGAAGGATTTTCTTCAAATAATTGGGTGAGTGTTGCCTTCCTCAATGAAGAAAAGTGCACAGATGTAATTTCTCTTTTTGCTTTATTTGATACTGGCAAAAACGACATAAAGCGGTCTTACGTACCACAATCAGTAAAACTCAGCGTAAACAGAGTTTGACGCAATATCGTGGAATCGGTAATAAACAATTAAGAATTTATGACATTTTGATATGTAAATTTTTATTTCGTTAGCACGAATTGATCTACTATTTTGCCAGATTCAGATGCGGTTGTACCAGTGTTATTTGGGCATAACCTTTTAACCAAAATGCAAATAGCATTGTGCTAAACAAAGATAATTAGTTTTAAGCCAAATGAACATTCAACATAAAAGCTCAAAATAAATTTTGTGTTTCGGAAAAACTTGTCAGTGCACTTCGCTTTTTTGATCTATATAGCAGCCCACTAGCTAGTTGCCAGTCTGCTACCACTAAAGAACAGAAGATTGTAAATTTGGGAAATGTTGATAAAAAGTCATGTTGGAAAATGGAATTAAACGTTGTGTCAGATTTAAAAATGAGTGAATCCCGCTTTCGTAAGAGTATTTATGTTCTAAAATTGATTGAACAAAGGGACCTAGCAGATCATGACGAAGTTATTTTGTCTGTTGATGCAACTTAAGAAAGTAATATGAACGATTTGATTAAAACAGATGCACAATTAGACAAAACAGATACAGATGTTCTCCGACACTAATGGGCCGGGAGTTAATGGTTACTCAATCAAGATTAAATAGAAAGGCAATACTTCAGTGTACAGTAGTGCGAGAAAACTCTCGTTTAAGGAGAAGTTGGAAGTCCGAAGAACAATCGATGAGTTATTGGCTCAGGGAACCATATGACAAAGTGAGTCTCCCTACGCTTCGCCAATAGTGTTCCTTTAAGGCTTATTGAAGATTGTTGGGGTGGCAAAACTTATTTCAGTACTCTTAATTTGAAAAATGGGTTTCATCAAGTGCCTATAAGCGAGGATTCAATACGTTCGGAGAAGATTGTAGTGTATTTAGACAACATTATTGTGGCTCCGAAAACTTTTGAGGACCACGTTAAGATTTTGACTGGCGTGTTGAGACTACTAAAATCTGTTGGAATAAATTTGTCCAAGTGTAGATTGGCATATAAGGAGGGGGTGTACTTGGGATATCGTGTAAATAAAAGTGGTATTAGCCCGAATGAAGCACACCTCCAAGCAATTAAGAATTATCCAGTTCCAAAAAACACTAAAGAGGTAAAGCAATGTATGGGTTCGTTTTCCTACTTTTGACGTTTTGTTCAAGATTTTTCACGAATAGCTGCCCCTTTAAATCGGTTAACGCGAAAAACGCAAAATTCCAGTGGACGGATGAGTTTATGAATGCTTTTGTAACATTAAAATATAAGTTAACGGACTCACCCGTTCTATGTATATTTGATCCACAGTATGAAACAGAGCGATATACAGAAGCGTGTTCCCGTGGGTATGGCGCAGTATTACTCTAAAGACAGGATGATAATAAATCTCACCCAGTTGCATATTTTTCGAAAACAACTACTGACGCGGGGTCGAGATATCATAGCTTCGAGCTAAAAACACTTGCAATTGTCAATGCACTGGATTGATTTAGTACATTCCATTTGTACTCGTTACTAACGGTAACTCATTGGTACTGGCGCTAGAAAAGAAGATGGAGATACACAAAGTGGTAGTAATAAAAAATGTAGATAAAAAATTAATTCCTAAGTACAAGAGTCCATATGTAGTAAGTAAGTGTTGACATATCTGTATGTATTTACAGATATTGAAAATTATGTGATTGATTCAAGTCGCATGAAAAGTGGTTGGGACCAGAACAGGGTGTAGAGGATATGGGCTTAGAAGGCAACATTCGCTATTCAAAATAACCGTTCCGTCAAATGATTATTGTAGAGGTTAAAAATTTTTTGAGGAAACTGAATGATTGAATAAGTTAATCGAGTTCGATTGAATGTCAGTTTAAGCCGAGTTGAATGAATTTTTATGCCTATGGCAACTTGTAAACATTTAATCAGCAAACTTGTTATAAATCTAACTGAGTCTCGGTGGAGACAATCACTAACTTGCTCAACTAGTAGACAAACGTGGCAGGAATGGATGGTAGAAGCTGTCAGGAGGTGAAAGAAGAGAAGTCGATAAAACATCTTCTATGCGAATGTAAGGCTTTATATAGGAAAAGAATCGCAACTATCGGTTCCTTGACGACGTATCGGAAGTTGCTCATACAAAACTATTTATACTAATGAACTTCATCAGAAGCACAGTGTTCAGAGAGTAGACAATAGAGTGGGGGAATATTAGTCCCGGTGGTATCACCATGGGCCTCCTATAAGCCTAGGTGCGTCGTCAGACAACCACTCTACCTACCTACCTAGGCCAAATTGTAGTGTAAAAAGTTATTTTTAAGGTATTTTAAGCTATTTGTAATCTGGCAGCACCACGTTGATCTGACAGTTGTCATAAAAGAAGGCTTTTTTTCTTTGAGTGGATTGGCAAGGCTAAGAACACGAGGGTGACTATCGAATAACAAAAATAAAGATATTCCAGTCAAGAAGTATATATTTATATGTGCATATTACATACAAAAAGGGGTAATAACATCTAAATTTCCGAACATAATGTAATTATTGCTTTGAAACCAAGCGCAGTTGCAACCATGAGAGGAATTTCAAAATGAAAAGGAATGCCGAAATGCGTAGGAGCGAGCTGTTATGGAAAAGAACACAAAGCGTGCCACCCGAGGACTAGCGGAACGGTTTCTTTGTTTTTCCTCGTTGTTCCCTCGCCAACGACAACCGATTTTGGTGGCAAAAAAAATCCTCGTCTGAATATGCACATACATGGCTCATGGTGTTTACACAGTTTTTCGTGTTCACAATGCAAGTTTTGTGAACTGTTTTCTCCACACAATCACAATAATCAAACTATCCGTGGGTGAGCTAACCACAACTTGGTGAAAACGGCTCTGCCAGTTAAGCTACCAGCGGTTAAGGATAATATTAACAGGGCATTGCGAAAACGGCTCTAAATATCCAAGAATAAATAATGAAAGGGTCTCTTCCTTGACAGATAAAAACTGTCGCTCTTGATTCACAACTGTTCCCGAGAAAAATTAACGGATTCAAAGTTTTTTTTGCAATAATTTAATAATTATTCTTTATAGTTAATATAAGTATTATTTATTAATATATACTAATTTTATAACAGTGATAGTTATGGGTATACATAACGTTATGTTACAGTGACTTTAATTTAACCCTATAATAAAAATATTTCAGATTCTGCAACTGCAAATGAATGAATATAAGTATCATTACTTATTTACTAGTTTCGACATTGAAACATTTGATTTGGAGGATTTTAAAAATAATTTCGTGAATGTTACCTCGTTCCGCCTTGTAGATGTTGGCGATGTAAGTGTGAGAAACATTCTCAAAGACATGGAAGCTTATAACTACGATTATAATAATAAGACAGCTTACTACAGAAAGTTGCGTACCATTAAGGTTTAGTTATTCCAATGAACACACATTTTTTGTTGTAATAAGACGAATTTCAATTTCAATATTTTCAGACGGAACCCGCCTTAGCGTATGATTCAGTTTATGTATTTGCAATAGGATTAACTAGTTTAAAACAGTCGCTGACTCTTGGCGTTTCGAATGCTTCGTGTGCCAGTGAAATCCCATGGGATGGCGGTTTGAGTTTGATAAACTATATAAATTCAGTAATTCATCTAAATATCTCATTTTTCCATCAAGAAATTATGTTAATTTACATTTGCATTTGTAAAAAGGTTGAGTGGAGGGGGCTGACGGGCCCCATACAATTCAAAGAAGGAAGGCGTGTTAAATTTAAATTGGACCTTGTAAAATTGAGGCAGCACTCCTTGGTGAAAGTGGGAGAGTGGACTCCACAAACACGTCTTAATATAACTGAGCCTGCGCTGTTTTTTGATGGCGGCACAATGAATGTGACGCTGGTCGTAATTACAATATTGGTGAGAAAAAGTTTATTAACACAATGGGGTCGATGAAATATGTAATAAAGACTAAAATTAATATTTCAATTCAATCACGGTACACGTTTTCCTTGCAGGAAACCCCTTATGTGATGATGCACTACGGCAAAAATTATACTGGAAATGATAGGTTCTATGGATTTTGCGTAGACATACTGGATTTGATAGCTCGTGACGTTGGCTTTGACTATATTCTTGACCTAGTGCCTGATCGAAAATATGGCGCACAAGATCCATTTTCAGGCGAATGGAACGGAATGGTGGCTCAACTTATGAAATATGTAAGCAAGGTGAAATACCATTACACAGTTCAATAATTTCTGGGAATTCAGAATCACAGTTAAATATAATATATTTTAATATTTTATCTTTGCAAGCCATCCGCACATATTGGTCAATATATAAGATATCTTAATGAAATTCAGAAAGAATCAGTGTATCATTGTGCTTAAAAAGGATTAGGTCGAGTGAATACTACCCCTGGCTTCATAAGATCATAGCTGAGTTACTGTTGTTACTTGCTCTACGGAGAAAAAGTCCTTTGTTGCTCTTTCGAACTGCAGATCTTGGCGGGAAATCCGAGCTATGCGGGTATTGTTGTTTGTTGCTATGCTGGCCAGTCAACGAACTCACATATTGAGCATAAGCTTGAGTACAAGAATAGGCTCAGCTCAAATAATATAATTAATCTTTGTGTTAGCTTTCATTAACCCTCTTGTTGAACAACAGTTGTGTCTTTGGTACCTTAACTTATACCAATTCAACTTGCCGGCCTAATGATATCACAAATCGATAGTATGGGTAGCAAAGCAACAAACTTATTTCGTTTCAAAAATATTACTCTTGTAAGCCATCAATATTATAAATATTAAACTTGAGGTTGACTTTGCACCGCACATATTGGTCATTATGTAGTATATCTTAATGAAATTTGGAGAGAATTAGTGAAAAATGGATAAATTAAAGTAAATACTCCCCCTAGCCTCCATATACCTTATATAAGGACTTTCAAACAACCATTTGACTTTACCTTTAGGTTATGTTAAACTGGCTGGCTGTCACGCCATACATAGACTTACTGGTCCTTTGTAATTCCGGAATTCCGAAAGCCTGAAGGGTCGCCTGAGATCTGGCTCCACGAAATAGATCCCGGCGCTCACTCTCTCCACCCTCTTTTAGCGTGACTTGAAACCCTCTCTCCCAGATAAAGCGTGAGGGTATGTGGTCTATCCTATTTACCGACCCTATGCCTATCGAGCTATGTCCAAATGTTCTCGTGGAAAATTCGCCAAACGCTGCCAATCTTGCTGCTGATTTCGCTGCCAAGCTTTCTACAGCAATGTCAATTGGTGGCTGGTTGAGTGACCTTTCAAGTGCAGCCATTGGGGCGGTTCTTAGCACTCCCGTTTTGCAGAGAGCAGTGAGCCGTTGTATTCGCTTCAACAGTTTCCTCTATGATATTTTACTGGAAGCGGTCTACCACACCAGAACACCGTAAAGTAAGATTGGCTTGACTACTGCTGTGTACCACCAATGCATAAGGACAGGTTAAAGGCCCCATGTTTACGCTAGCATCTTCTTACATGAGTAAAGAGCACCACTGACCTTTTTCATCCTCTCCTCTACATTAAAGCTCTAGGTTAGTCGATAATGCCCACTTCTTGTATGACTTGGAGAGCGCTATTCATCACGCTAATAATTGTGTCTGGGAACTTACTCGTCTCTAGTATAGCTATGTCGTCTGCATAGGTTGGGTGCTCTTCCTTCAAAATTTCCCAAAAGCTCATAGGCTTCGAGTGACCACAGGAGAGGAGACAGTACCCGCGCTAAGGAGTTCCTGATCGCGCTAGTCTGAGCAATCTGGCTTCATTCCATTCTGCGTTAATCTTTCTACAGATTAGTAGAGCTTTTAGCCATGTAGCAATGGCTGGCTCTATCCTGGCTTTTTTCAGACTACTAACGATAGCCCCATTGGAGTCATTAATAAATGCTCCGCTTATGTCAAGAAAGACGCCCAGGGCATATTACTTATGCCCTAGAGCTCTCTCTATATTTAAGGTTAACGAGTGAAGTGCAGTCGCAGTGGATCTATCCTTCTTATAGGCGTGCTGAACTTTCCATACGTTAGCCGATGAAATCTTGTCCCTGATGTAGGCATCTATAATCTTTTCGAGTGACTTCAGAAGGAATGATGTTAGACTTATTGGTCTATATTCTTTCGAATACAGGGAAACTATTTTGTCCGCCTTTGTTATGAATATGACCCTCGCCTCTCTTCAAATGATAGGCACATAGCTAAGCCTTAAACCTCCCTCATATATGTATTGCCATCAGGTATGGTATCAGCACTGTTCGGCTGGGAAAACGCCGTCCCTACCAGGGGACGTCCCTTAGGGGGATGAGTGTAGCCTTCGTTATAATATCCGAGTGGATGCAGACTAGTACGCTATTTCTCCCAAGTTTAAAGTTAATAGTGTCCGTACACCCTAGAAAATGCGTGTTCCCTACTCGATCTGGTTCGCAAATTTCGTATCCTTTGACGAGAATTGCGGTCGCGGTTAATAGTAGGCTCGGCCATCCGTAATTTTCTCTTTAGTCCAAGCTCTCCTCTTCTTCCTTCGTCCGGTTGCACTTGCAGCTAACTGCAACTGTGTCCGACGGTGGTAGCAGCCTCTTCGTCCACCGACTTTTGGGCTGATATCCCAGCCCGCTTTTTGTGTTTGTTTTCCTCCATGTATAGTTTTAATTTCAGGGAATTTCTACTCCTATCAGCACCTGCGTGAAGGATATAGCTAAGAGGATTTCCGCCGACCTGACTTAACCTTTGCCCTGAGTACCTTTATTATGAGTTTTTCTTTTCATTGTAGAAAGCGGATTTGGCCGTTGGATCCATGACAATTACATATGCACGGGAAAGTGTTATCGATTTTACCAAACCATTTATGAATCTGGGCATCAGTATATTATTCAAGGTAATCAGATGTTTACACTTTTAATGAAAGGCGTACGTTTTGAAAAGAGCCGATATTGAGAGAAATAATTTCAAATTAATCGCAACTTCATTTATATTAAATCCTCCCTCAATTAGGTGCCATCAAGTCCGGCTTCTCGTTTATTTTCTTTTATGAATCCTCTGGCGTATGATGTATGGCTATATGTTTTAGCGGCATATTTTCTAGTATCTTTCACAATCTATATAGTAGCAAAGTTGTCGCCAATAGAATGGCGCGATAAGTATCCATGCGACATGAAGAATCCTATAATTACCAACCAGTTTACGTTAGCTAACAGTTTTTGGTTTACAATCGGTACATTGATGCAACAAGGATCAGATATAAATCCAAAATCGCTATCGACGAGAATAGTCAGCGCTATATGGTGGTTCTTCACCTTGATTATAATTGCCTCATACACCGCTAATCTGGCGGCATTTTTGACGGTTGAGCGAATGATAACGCCCATTGAAAATGCTGAGGACTTAGCCAGTCAAACAGAAATTTCATATGGTACTCTCGAGAGTGGCTCTACGATGACATTTTTTCGCGACTCAATTATCGAGACATACAAAAAAATGTGGCGTAATATGGAGAATAAAAAGTCCATTGCTTTTACTTCCACCTATGAGGAGGGTATAAAACGAGTTAATCAAGGTAATTTTGCATTTCTAATGGAATCTACAATGCTTGATTACATAGTACAGCGAGATTGTAATTTAACTCAAATCGGAGGCCTTCTGGATACTAAAGGTAAGTTTAATCCCATTGTATATAATGATTTATATAACAATATCAAAAATAACTAAGTTCGGGTGTAACCGAACATTTCATACTTTTGCAACTTAACAGGATCAAAGCTAGGGAAATACCTTCAGTATATGGTAGTTTGGGTAATTTGTGGACGAATTTCCCATATTTTCGGCATTAAACTATAGTATATCCAATATTATAAGCTGAGTAAATTTTGCTAAGGTATTTTACTTATTTCCCGACATAAGAGATAAAAAGTCAGCCGGTAATTCGAAAATCTTTCTATTAATTATATGGGGGCTAAAGGAATTATTGACCCGATACAACCCATTTTTACCATACGGACATATTATCAAAAAAAGGATTATTTTCGAATTTTTATTTTTATATCACAGATTGACCGATATATTCAATAAAATGTTAACCTGATTTGGACACCTTTTGGTAATAAGGCAGTTCGTGTAAAGATGTATCCCGATACATTCATAGTGATGATTTAAAATTGTGTTATATGAGAAGTAGGTGTGGTTGTAGTTAGTTATTCTCACAAACCACAAAGTGTGTTTTTGAATATACATGAGCAATGTCAAAAGTTACTGAAATCAGTTCAGGTCTTTACTGCCCCCAATATATCCTATATAATGTTTTCCGACTTCCCACCTGTCTTTAGTTAAACCGTTTATGTTGGTCAAAATGTGTGATATCATAATAAAGTTGACAAGCTTTCTTAAAAATTATGTGATTTAGCGCTGAGTATAAATAGAATTGGTTTAGACTTTGGTCCAAACCTCATATTTTTAATATAATCAATTCCGATCCTCTGGTTGACGTTTTTTCAAATAAAGTCAATATATTATATTAAATTTAGCCTTTTGTGTTAAATTAGGTCAGATATATCTTATTTGAAGATGATTTTAATATAATTTTCGCTGACGGGAAGTAGAATATAGTTATAAAACTAATTGAATCAATGGCCAATAATAAAAGTTTATAAGATACAAATTTGATTCTAATCCTTTCACGATTTTGCCGAATGAATGTTGAATTCTTCCGCAACATTTTTTGAAATAAAATTCGCTGGAAACTGGAAAGCCAATAAGCTAACTAAAGGAGGCACCCGTTCCCCCCGCTCACATCGGAGTGGGAACGAGTTGGCTCTCCGTTGTCATCTTGCGTTCTGGCGTTGGTCGACGATCAGCTCCTGTGCAAGTGCAAGATCCTTATGGCCTAGAGTTGATACGTTCTAAACGGAAATCAACTGAACTGCTTGCTCTTAGCAAAGTTCATTGTCACAGTTGTGTGAAAGAAGATGAGATGGAAACATCCAGACACTTTCTCCTTCATTGTCCAGCGTTTGCAAGAGTAAGGTTCAAACATCTCGGCAGTCATATCTTCGATGAACCAGAAGACATAGCCGAAACTGACATTGGCCGCCTCAACAAATTTGTTATCGGCTCAAAGTGCTTTGTTGATTTATGAGGGTCTCTATGATCAATTTAATAGGATTCTAGGTACCACATCGGACCGGCGTTATAAGCTGTTTAAGAGAGCTCCCTATTAAGATCGACAAGTTAACTTAACCTAACCTCTATAAAAGTATTATCTAAAATTGAAACTATTTGTGGCAGTCGGTAGATTTTTAATTTACAAAAGTCGATATTTTACGAATCTTCTGAGTATAGTATTGTTAAATAAATTCTAGGCTATGGAATTGCTACACCAAAAGGTTCACCCTGGCGCGACAAAATTTCACTATCCATTTTAGAATTGCAAGAAAAGGGAAATATACAAATGCTATACGATAGATGGTGGAAAAAAGCAGGAGACACTTGCGTACGTAAAAGTAATAGCAAACAAACTAAGGCAAATGCCCTCGGTCTGGATAACATTGGTTAGTAATGTTGATACAAACTTGTAATGTTTTAATTCTGCACCTACGCGGATAACTTTCATTTTCCTTTAATTATAAAGATTGCTATGAGTAGAATATCCGATTATATGTTCAAAACCAATAAACATTCGTAAATATATAGTTATTTTCCATCGAAGGTGGCGTATTCGTGGTCCTTTTTGTGGGCATAGGTTTGGCCGCTTGGGTTGCTGTATTCGAATTCTGGTATCACTATAGCAATAGAAATCGCAGCAGTGTTTACTGTGAAAAGAAGCCCAATACTGTAGAGAGGAATATGACTGAAGTGGCACTTAATGACTTTGATTTCGTTGATAACTCGGACAAAGAAAACGTAGAGGTAATACACACTGAAGACCAGACGTTGCCTTGCAAACATGTCACAGCATATTGTTGTAAAGAACCACCAGCACAACGTTCACTTTGCGGCGAAATGCTGGACGAGTTTCGTTATGCATTGCGATGTATGGACTCGCACAGACGACCAGCTCTGAAGCGGAGATGTCCAACATGTCATTTATTTAAGGATGTTAAAGAGTTTATTGACATAGAAACTAGGGCATCAATGACCGTACACGGCAGCCTTATTGGAAGTGCACCTAATGATTCAGAAATGCACCATAATCAAGGTAAAAGTACTACAGAGCCTCTAGCTCAGACATCCCTGAGCTCAATTGCTTTATTTACTTGTAATGCGAACGAAACCAATAAAAATATGGACTAAAATTATGTGGGTATTTATATTGTAATGCGCCAATTGGTCTAAATCGCCCTTATATATGAGTACCAATGATTTTGAATAATAAATATGAATGAATATTAATGTCGTTCACATATAAGCTAAAAATATACCTGTTTTATTTACGAATGAACCGGGTTTTTTCAGCTGCTGTGGTAAGTTTTGTTATTAAATCGTTTTTTAAATTTTTTGTTGGAGAAAAACCAAACACATTTAAATCAAAATATAATATCCAAAAAGTAAATGTCATGAACACAAATTGCAATTTTGTCAGCTATGCATTTATTTCTGCAAGAGTTTTCATCATCACCCTTATAGAACTACTCATCCCATTTTTTCTTTTACTGATAAAAAATGTTTCTTTGTGTCATCCAAAAAACCTTCTGGAAAGTATTGACATGATTTTACCCCTTTTTGACACAAGCAAACATCAATATCAGAAAATGATTCTCTATGAATTTCAATAATATATCCGACGGATTGACGGATGTTATAATCCTCATCATCAATGTCCGATTTCGACTAATTTTATCATCACGATACCTGGAAGTGATTATTGTCCAGAACAACAATACAATCTCGGAACAAATTGTTCAGATCGGACCACTATAGCATATCGCTCTCATATATACTGATCAATCAAAATCAAGTTCTTGAATGGAATTTTTTTTATTTGTGAGGGGTATTCTAGCTTCAGCGTAACTGGAGTTAATTTCCCTGCTTTTGATCCTTGCAAATTGCGAGGATAAAATGTTCGGTTGCACCAAGCCTCTATTTTGATAGAAAATTCAAAAAAGAAAACAGTAGCTTCCAAATCATAACTTTACACGGTAACAAAACTTTAACTTTTTTGTTGCATGAAAACTCATACTAAACAATAATGTGTGAATGAAAATAAATTACACAGAAGTTATTGCATATTACAGAAAAAATACCTTTGATTTTCGGGAATATTTGGCTTCTGGAAGGTAATTTTTAAGTCTCCAACTGTTGACGTTTAATAACGCTCGCGGTTAGATGCGGAAGATTAAGGCGGATGGAAATAAAACACGTGGGTCGAAATCCTTTATTGAAGAGAGCGTAAAAACGGAAGCTAGTTTGACAGCAAGTACATAAGTGCTGCCAAGCAAAGTTTAATTATAATAATAACATATGTTTCTAAATGTGATACCAGATAGGCGCTAACAAACCGACCGCCTTAAACGACCGTTCAAAAAATTACAATTTCAATTAAAATCTAAGAATATCATAAGGAAAATATGTCCCCTTTTGTTGGTAGTAACGATAGTTTGCAGCGCTTAGAAAGTTAAATGCCAAATTGTTTGGGCGTTGGCAAAATATGATCTCTTTCATCACGAATGCAGCGTACGTACGCAAAATGTTGAAGCGCCATGCAGTTAGTGCCATATACCACGAACGAGGTTACGAATGCCTGGTACCCAAAATCGTCGTTAAAGCGAGTTCTCAAACGCCGCTTTCCGCTCGTTCGCGCCGCCTAATACCCTTTTGGCCCGCTCAAGTGTGCTAGCTTGCTGCTCAGAATTCTGAGTGTGTCAGCTTGCCACCGTAGCTTTCCAAAATCTTGGCTGCCAACCAACGGTTTGACTTAAGCTTTTTAGCTGCCGTCACACGCTTCCTCACAGAGCCCTCAGCGTTCGATGGGAGCCCCGTGACTCCCATGAACTAAGCTGAGGTTTCTCTACTGGTTCTGGCGACTCCGCCTCGTACTTTCGCTCTACTTTAAGTTTCTGTCGGCAGATTCCTACCGACTCCCCCCAACTTACCGCCCTTACGACGGTAAACCATGCTCTCTCGGTATTGCCTTCATCCTTTTCGGGGGACGATTTCATCTCCCTAGAGGATGGTGTCCCTCCCGAGAGACCGTCCAGTTTCACCGAGGTCGATTCCGACCTACTTTCTTCCTCGTCCTTATTTAAAGTGTTGTTTTTATCATAATTCTTATCTTTTTAGGGTACCCACTCAAAGCCGGTATCCACATCCCGGAAAGACAGTCGCCTTATATGGTCCCAACTTTATCTGTTATGAGAAAATGAGTTCAGAGACGACCAGCGCAAAGAAGGAATAATCTCAACTTACTCCTACCATACAAACTTAATGATGACGGTATTAGAACGTAAAGTTTTAACGGGACGGAAGCAGCCTTGGCATTAACCCATAAGCCAGTTCTGCAGGGTGTCACCCCAAAAACTGACTTGTGGCTCCCTATCTAGCCCACTTCAAGTGTCTCATACCGTCGGACCCAAATACTTAAAGCGTAGCTTTGCAATGCGGTACAAGCGCACAAAAATGGTCCATAGATTCCCTGGGGCCTTTCTCATGACATTATCTGCAACCCCTTTCTCGATCTGTCAACCCCATTCTGCAGGCGGCTTCCACCTCCAAACAGTGACCAGTGAGTATTCCGATCATTTTCCTAGAGTCCCTTTTATCGAATGCCAGTAAGAAATTTTGTATATTTCGGATCTACCGTTTTGCACATGACTTTTGCAGTGTTGTACCCAGGTAGATCGTTCATATTCCTACCTATCATGCTTCTGTCCCGATCGTCGTATAGACGATTGGGTTTTCCAATGTTGAACCCGTTTTTGGGTGTCAGCCGTACACTACTCTTGGCAATCTCGTCCACTATATCTCATTGCCTTCGATGTTTGTGACCTGGCACTCAGTACAAGTGAAGTTGCTTACTTCTGGCGACACTCTCCACTGCTTCCCTGCTTTCCAAGACATTTCTACCCGATATGCGAGATGAGGTTAAAGCCTTGATCGGTGCTTGCCAAACCGAAATTACCCACCGAGGTATGCCCGAATGTTCTATATGTCAATTCCCCTGCACCCAGTAGTCGCACTGCCGATTTTGCCGCACAGTTTTCAAGGAAGAGGCCTAAAAGTGACAGGTAGCACTAGCTCAAGAGCCGCCATTGGAGTGGTTCTCAGAGCTCCTGTTACACAGAGCGCAGCGGCTCTCTGAACGCTTTGCGTTGGCTTGCGCTAGATAGATTTCTGTAATCTGCTTGTCCACCACACTACTGCACCGTAGAACAGAATTGGTCTTACAATCGCTGTGTAGCACCACTTCATGAGAAAGGGTGAAAGCCCACAGGTTGTGCCGAGCATCTGCCTACATGCATATACATATGCATTGCTGGCCTTTTTTACTCTTTCGTCCACATTGTGCTTCCACGTTATTTATTGCTCCAGAAATATCCAAGAACACCAATAGTGTATTCCTTATATTCTAGAGCCTTCTTGATGTTGAATACCAGTGTAAAGAGTGCAGTCTCTACGAATCTGCCTTTAGTGTATGTAGTGTAGGCTTCCAGGGAGTGCTGCGTCCCTGATTTGCACATCCACAATTTTCTCTAATATTTTCTGCAGGTAGAAAGTTAAGCTTATAGGCCTAAACTCTTTCGAGTAGGTTGGGTTGTTTCTACTTGCCTTCGGCATAAAACCACCCTACCTCTCTCCATTAGTGTGGCACATAGCCGAACTTCAGGCATCCCCTAAAAATCGCCTTTAGCCACGGCACGGATAGACAAAGCGCATTTTGTAACATCGCTAGAATGATTCCATCCGTACCGGGAGATTTGACGAGTCGAATGAGGAGATTGCCCATTTTATCTTATTCTTCATAATGATATATTGGGGAAAGTTAACTGCACTATTCCCTTCATAGCTCGGACTAATCGCGTCCTTACAGCCAGGAAAGTGCAAACTAACTAGGTTTTCTAATGAGTCTACAAATGCTACAAAAATTCTTCCAGGACTACAGTTTTGTCCTGTGCATCCTCTTTTGGTATTTCCTTAAGATATCTTTATACTCGTTCCAACAGTCCTCGCTTTACGCTTGCATGCCAAGTTGAAAAATTCCCGTACCCTGCGTCTGCAAGACCCGAGCTCCTTGTTCCAACAAGGAAACTTCATTTTGTGCTTGAGTCGCAAGGTTGAGTGATTATTTTTAGGACGCTTCAAGAGATGGGCCGCATTCTCCTTGGAATATCATTGCATTTCAAGATTTTGACTCCGCTAAACCATCAAATTACGGCATGGGTGCGTTCGGCTCTGAGTCCATCCCCGAGAGGAGAGCTTCCAAAAGCTTTATCTTCAATATTTTCCACCGCTCCTGCGATATCTGTTCCAGCGGGTTAATGCGGTCGATGAGCGGCACAATCAGATGTCGTTTCACTTACAGCCACTGCTTTGGACGTATTCGGCTTGCCCCCCACATGCTTGACGTTCACCTCCGTATCCCGATCGCCGCCTTGTATCGCGCTTCCGCCTTCAACCCCACTATGCTTTGCTGCTTCCGGGGCCCTCTCTTGTTGTCAGAGCTGGAACCCTCGGTCGCCTTCTCAGAGGAACGCAGAAGCTCTTCTTTATTACAGCCAGCAGCGCTATCTTGGCCCGAGTCTTAATGGACTGTGGCACCCGTGCGCTGTAGAACTGGCTTGGCATTGGTACTACAACCACCGTAACCTGCTCCCGTTGCAGTGGAGGTGTGGCCGTTACACAGCTTGTCAAATCGCTATGCGCGCCGGTGGTGGCAGTCTTGTCTCCCATCGACGTTTGGGCTAATACCCCAGGCTTCCTTTCTTCGTTGAATATTGAGATTTGAATTCGGGGGTAGAGCGTTTTATACCTACCGCCAGATACTTCATTAGCAATAGCTGTTGTATTTCCCGATTCACCTCCTTCTGAGGTTGCATACAAAGCAGTCCATCATAACGGGATGTATAGGGAAATATACCAGCCTTCTCTGGATGACGCCTACTTACAATGTCATTACTCAGCCAGCTCAGAGGCAGCTTGAGATCACGACTTTACAAGCAGCGACACCCATTGCCCAGTCGACACCGGATGATACATTTAAGAGGAATTTTTGCTGACCATCTCATAGGCATAGATTTTACAAAAACTGTTTGACACAGGCAGTTCGGCACTACGAAGGATGGGTCTGTTTGCCAGAGAAAAGTTAGTATTTTGGTCGGTCAAAATAATTTCGTTATTGGCGAGGTATGAAAGTTGGTATTGATGTGCTTGGCAAGATGTAAGCTTTTGTTTAGATTTAACTCGTCCAACAGAGCACTGCTTCTTAAATTTCGGAAATATATGCTTACACACAGTCTTCAATTCGGCAAGTGTTGCCCTTAGCTTTATAAACTATTACAAATGAATATGTCTTAAGTTTTTAATGTACGTGAAAAAAATGAAATTGGTATTTAAATTTGCCATTTGGGCCATTCACAATAGTAAAACTGATCTAAAATATGCAGAACAAAACTTGGTAACGTTGAAGATAGCGGTTATATCACTCAAATGAGGTATCTGCATACTCTCTTGCAAATTTTTGACAAAAGAGTAGCGCGAAAATGATAGCGAACAGAGAAATTGTAAATAGAAAACAACTTAGTTTACAACTTTTCAAATTGTAAGACGCGGTTTTCTTCCCGTTCAAGTTTAATGTGCTCATTGATGATGTCCGACATAGACTTGGCTTTTAGTCGGCCGAAACTGTTTCATTTCAAAGTTTCCTCGAAGCGCCACAGCTATTAACTTATACGTATTAGTTTAAAATAGCGTAACGAGTGGAATTTTGGTAATTCAGTCAACCAGCCTTAAAGCTCACGACCATTCGAAGTTTCGCCATAAATGTTGCCAATGCTACAGCTATACGCTGCCGTTTTGATTTCCATTTTAGCTTGGTTTCTTTGGCATTAACAAAACAGTTTACCACTGATCAGTTGAGTCGGCTAACATTCTACACAACATACATACCTAATAAAGTGGTATTGGACTATAGTTGCACGAAATACATGGAAAACCTCAACTAGACAGTCCAATATAACTATGTATATTTAACTTGAGTAATTATATGCAAATATATGTATGTATGTTAAGCAAAAAAGTGAGCTAGAGCTGTTAATGCCCAAGTAAAACTTACCTACAAGCATATGTAGGTATATGTACTTTTATGTAACTATGTACATATGCATCTACATATGTTTATATAAGCATATGATGCGAAGAGGCAGCCATCATTTAACCAAATCCACTATCCAACTCACCAAATTACTAGAGGCTTCACCACATGCAAATAAATAAGCATGGTACAACAATCAATCTTTTTACTCGAGCGAAATATTTCTTCTATGGTTATGTACGTATGCATGGAATTTTTAGGATGGTAACTTACACATTCAAACATTGCTATTCACACACATATATATGTATCTGTATATGTACATCTAAACATATATATAAGTATATATACTTGTATATATCTATATACCATATATACACCGATGTGTGGTGGCTATATTATGGTGAATATCGATTTGTTGCGCTCATTTTGGTAAGATACGTATATTTGCAAGCAATAAAGCTGTATATCTGCTGCGTTTATCGTCTGCGGCTCAGACTTAAACTCGGGCTATAAATACCAGTCTTTGCATTATTTTTAAATTTAATTCAGTACACACTTTCACCTGCAACAGTTGCTTGTTAAGTACGGTTTGGTAGTGCTTCGGATACGATCACTCCTTAATCTGCGATCGTTACTACTGTATTCGCCTGCAGAAATCATTTGTTTTGTGTATTTAAGCCGCAAACGTAACACACATATATATACAAAATAATATTTTTATAATTGTTTTAACTATAGTAAACTACACCGGTTCAATCAAAGCCATTTTAAATTAGTGAAAGTCACTTGAAAGTTTTTAAAATTATTATTTAGTTGAGAAAAAAATGAAAGCCTTTTTGATAGTTGCTTGTGCATTATACGTGTGCGTTGCCAGCCAGGATGATAAGAAGATCAGTCAAAGTAACACTGATAATGAAATAAAAATTTATAAGCGTCTGATACCAGCTGATGTGTTGCGAGGTAAGGATACACTACCATATGTGCTTATCTATGAAAAATTCTAACCGTCTTTGTAACTCAAAATTGCTGCAACTTATAATACATACGTAATAACATGAATATATACACACTTTTTATATTAGTTATGTCATACATATTTAAAATTACCAAATTAATTGAAAAGTTATTATATAAAGTTCTAGTGGAAGAAATCAAAGCTAGTTTGAGACTGCTCTGGTCTCATTAGACAAAACTATGCAATGTACCTTTTTACAATGCATTAAATGAATCGTCTGTCTGTCCGTCTGTATATACGCGAGCTAGTCGCTTCCTATCTAGCTTTTGTACACACCCTTTCCTCCCAAAGAACCCGCTCATTTGTCGGAACCGCCTCTATCGGACCACTATAGCATAGTCTTTGTGTGGAAAAATGTTTTATTTGACAAGATATCTTCACGAAATTCGACATGGTTTTCTGTCCAAGGCAAACTTTTGTATTTGTGAAGGGTATTATAGCGTTGGCGCAACCGAGGTTAACGTATTTTCTTGCTTTTATTATAATGCAGTTTTCATGTGTGCACATGTGTATAGCCAAACATTTTTTTGGTAAGTAAAATAGTGGCAACATCATTGTCTACTTAATCAGCTATAACAGCACAAAACTTTATTATACCTAACACATACACATTTATGTGAGTAAAAAGTTGTAAAACGTGTGTACATATCTCTGAAATGATTGTATAATTTGTATTTAATTTGTTTTTTACCTCAAATATATTGCACCATTGGCTGGACCCGGCAGTGCAGTTTTTAATTATCAACTAGTGTTAGTCTCAAGCGAAACTAGTCGCTGACAAGCGAAATTTTGTGGTATTTCTTACATGGTTATCTGCATTGAGATGTCAATTTTCAAATACTGCTCGGAAATATACCAATTCCATACTATATAAAAATATCCTTTAAGTTGTAGCTACATACAGTGGCATAAATCAAAAATAAGCATTAATTATATTCGTTAAAATTAAGTATTCTTATATATATTATTATATTTATGATTATATGATTGGAACAAGTAAAATTTTTACGGAAAAGTTTGTTTTTAGTATCCTTGTAAAATATTGTTTTTTAAACAAATTCAATTGTACTCAGGAATTTCAGGTTTTGTATTAGTATGCTTCCTGAATGTATCATAGATGTCCACTGCAGTTATATGTGAATGCGTATATACCTATAGCGTATCCTAGTGTCCTGTGACTCGGGGTCGTGGTCGAAATAGTACCCCGTTAAATTAAATTTACAATTATGGAAACAATTGTACTTCTTGCTGAAATGGCAACGTAATACATTACAGTTGCCAGTTACAATTAATAGTAATTTGCTACGTCCCCCATACGTACATACATATATGTATGTACAGACAAGTGACTAAATAAAGTTGCTGTACCGGCCCAATTCACACTAGTACTGGTTCAAAAAAATTGGATTATAAATCCAAACCACTGGTATAAAAAATAATGATTTTTTCTGACTAGTTAGATCTAAGCGGAATGTCTAGTTGTAAAATTGTATATATCCTGATTAGTACATTTATACTTAGTTTTTTGCATGATAATCACAACAATGATTTATGAATAAGTATTTATAAGGAATCGAATATACAAGTATACACATATGCAGGATAACTTTCACTGCGAATTATGAAATCGATTTGAACATGACTTAAATTAGAGTATTTATTTCATCGCCGAGTCTTTAGTTTAGGGCAAGTTATTCACTATAGTTTAAACGAGGTGCATATCAACTATAACATGTACATGATATGTACTATTTTGTCCTAATATGTTTTTAAATAATCATTAAATGTGCAATATATATGTATGTATATAAACCCAAATATAATATATGTATATAAGCAAATCAAAGGAACGTTTGCGTATATTTATATACATTGGTATATCCGTAATGCAACCTACTGAATTGCTCACGACGTATAAATGCTAGTTGATAGACACGAGTGATTTATACCGTTTTTCAAGGTTTATTATTTGAAGCTTTTACTACTGTATATGCTTGTTTAAACTTCTGTTTGCCATATGCACATATGTATGTATGTCTGACACAATTACAAACTCATGACTAATATTATTTTTGCGTGTATTCATCAATACATTGACGTTACTTTTACCCTAGATTGCAACTGAAAATAGAATGGTTTTAAGATTAAATTAGTTATGGTATAAATGACGCATCGAACAAATAACTCTCATAAATGAAATACTAATATACTGATGTAGTCAAAGAAACATATCATATAAAGAAGTTATACCACTTTAGTGAACTAAATGACTTTCTTGTTGCTTTAATGTGTACAAGAATACAGATATAAACAAAAAAAAACGTTAAAAACGTTGTAAAAATATTGATTTTTATCACTCAGTGTGTATGACAGCTATATGCTATAGAGGTCCGATCTGGGAAATTCCTTCAGCTATTTTAGTGTTGCTTTGGACAATAACCCATGGCAATTTTCGTGAAGATATCTTGTCAAATAAAAAAGTTTTTCATACAAAAACAACTTAATTTCGATCATTCAGTTTATATGGCAGCTATATGCTATAGTGATCCAATATCGGCGGTACCGACAAATGAGCAGTTTCTTAGGGAGAAAAGGACGTGTGCCGACTTTCAGATCGATACCTCAAAAACTTTCCAGGTGGCTGTGCTTAGCCCTGAGAGTTTTTTCTCTGCTCACATTCCTCCGAGAAAGGTATGGTGGAGAAGGAGTCGCTGGAAGAGAGAGACGGTGAACAGAGGGTTGGCGGAGAAGTATACTGTCGGGAACTATCTGTCAACTCCCGTTTCAAGTTTCCCGATCATTGTAGCGTCTTACAATTTGGAATTGAATTGATATCGGACCATTATAACTAAAGCTGCCATTCAAACTGATCAATCAAAGTTAAGATAAAGTTCTTCATAAAGGATCGTTTTTCCCTACTATGTAATCTTACTTCCACTTGAAGATTGTTCATCACACAATTTTGTATGTTGTCTTACAACCTCTTTAAGGGTAGAGAAAAACACTTTTATCCTTCCGGTCTAGTTGTCAAGACACTAACACAGCTTCAACTTTGAAAATAATTTGAAGTTTGAAAAATCCTTTCAGGGAGAAATTTTCTAATGTCTACACTAACGAAATATGAAAATAATCTTTTTTTTATTTCTAGAATTTATTATATTTTCTAATTAAATCATGTCTTATAAACTTTTCAAGCTATCTCAACAAACTCTCTACGAAACATTTCGCCTAAAAGCATGTAATAACCACATCCAAGCGTAAAAAATGGCTTTATAAACAAATTTCTTATCTCCCATGCCACATGATCATTTCCAACAAGTTTTAAAAGGTGTGTATCATTCTTATGCACCCTTTTAGCAGTATTTCAAAAATAGTTTAACTCGGACGAAGTCACAATTGTTTTTCTCAGGCTTAGCAGGGAATAAAACTGGTTCGGCATTCAACTACAACAAAGCAAACTTCCGGTGCAAACATGTATGACTTTTAAAGGAGGTAACAATGTTTAGCTCAGAAAGTTTTTTCTTTAATAAATGTTAGGAGTTTGGTGTTACCAATTCTATTTCGATATCTAATTTTTGCTAATTTCGCAAAAACTATATTTCTGTTTACTTTTTTTTCAGATTTCCCTGGTATGTGTTTTGCCTCCACACGTTGTGCTACAGTCGAACCTACAAAGACATGGGAGCTGACACCCTTTTGCGGTCGGTCAACGTGTGTTCAGAACGATGAAACCCCGGCCAAGTATTATTAAATTGAAACTAATAAATATTATATTACTTGATTAGTTTCAATAATCATTTTCATAATTTTTACTTTCGTATTATTCCAGGTTATTGGAGTTGGTAGAAGATTGCGGCCCACTACCGTTAGCCAATGAAAAATGCAAACTGGACACTGAAAAAACAAACAAGACAGCACCTTTCCCATACTGCTGCCCTATCTTCACCTGTGAACCTGGCGTTAAGCTTGAATATCCTGAAATTCCAAAGGAAGAAACGACAAAGGAATAATTTTTTGTAAGCATAGGAATGGTTATTATGGTTTAATAAAGGAGGTTAATAAATCACAACCATGGATCTATTACGATTTACATGCATATGTCTATACATATGAACATACGTATTACCTAGCGATATAATCATAATTCGATATACATAAAATAATTCAGTAACTCAAGGAAATATCAAATATACCAATTGTATTAAACGTTTTTGCTTTATCCCTCTTTTGAAACTGACATGAAAAGTTAATTCAATAATGTCTATATTATATCAATACAGGAAGTTTGCTAATAAAAAAATTTACATATTTGCCAATTTACATGCAATCTGCTATATATTGTATACAAGTATACAGAAACATATTTGTCTTTATAATTTTAATTAAATAGGATAGCTTAAGTATATAGTAATAGCATTTGTCTCCTAAAATTTGCATCACCTAAAATTATAATGAATGAGAAGCTGAACCAGCTTTTAGATATCTCGCCACTATTATTTTAGAACTTCAACTATCGGATTTATTAGTGAAATACTTATAGTGTTGTAACGGGATAATAAGCTTATTAAAGCTTGACGCATATAAGAAAATCAGTTTGTATTGAACACCATTACATTAAATAGGAACAAATTATTGCAAATTCAGCTATTTCTATATTGGGGCTACCTTAATGTACCTAGTTCGGAATTAAGTACATGAAGTCAAACTTGGCCAAATATCAAAGTCAAATATAAGAATGGGAAAACGACCATAAATGCCGACTTAATGCTACGTATATTATCTAGTTCATCGATCAATACGTTTACAATCCAAATAATATTAAAAGAGGTTAAATACGTATAACTAAACTAAAAATATCACCGGATTTAAAAATTTTAAAAAATAATGTGAATAATATGTTTGTATCTTAAAAACTAACAAAAATGTTTCGTATGAATGCTAACATATGAGTAGTTAATACATATGTTCATATGTCTGTCGAGTTTAATTAAAATATATTACTTAAATCGAAGCATATAAAACAAAGCCAACCGGATCAATAAAAATTAATAAGAATCATTTTCAATATTTTCGAAAAAAAATGTCACATAACTCTATAGCTCTTAAGTGTTTCGAAAACAGTTATTTTCGGTAAATTCAATTGCGTTGATCAACTAAAAACGGCGTTATAGAAAAAACCGCGAAAGATTTAATTTGTGAGTTATCTATATGTAAGCGAATACCCGTACGTATATTTTAACCATAATCATATAATATTAAGAGAATGTTGATCCACTCTAGTTTAAAAATTAAATATTTCTGTAAATTACAATTTATGCAAAAATATATTTGTCAATTTTAGACCATTTTAGGTTAGATGAATGTGACCATGTACAACAAAAAAGTGCGACTCTAAAAACTGTTATGTTCAAAAAATATTTCATTTTGATATTGGCCATTGCTCTTTCAAAATATGAAAGGAAAGGGATGCCTAACTAGCATTCTTGTACATATATGTATATTCCACCATCTGGCCATTCTATCCCTCATAGTTCCAAAGCGACATGCACAATATTGCCTTATTTAAATTCCTCCACTTCTTTAAGAGGATATTCGTATTTTTATATAACCGCTTACGATTCCTGTTGAATCGAAAAACGCAATATCAAGCATTTGTATTCGGCCTAAATATGAAATAAAATATCATCAAAAAATTCGAAATTGAGTTTTTTATGATAAGTGATATTACGTTATTAAAAATTTATTAATCGACGAAACCGTGAATGGATTACAATCATATTTTATACTATATTAACTTACATACTAATGAATTCAAATGAGTCAAGTAGAGAATCGGATGTCATTATATTAAGAATATGGGGTCAGACCAAGGTCTAGACTGATTTAATTCATATTTCTATATCAGGAATATTGGTTTTGGGGATAGATCTGGGCTGATTGCATTAACTTTTGACATTACCGTTAGAGTAACGAAAATCATTGTATCTTGTATATTTGTGGTGATTAATTCTTTGACCGATTTCACCCATTTTCGGCAATATACTATAATGTATTCATTATTATATGTTCAATCAATTTTGTTAGATATCCTATATATTGACCGATAACTACATTATAAAAATGCTCTCTGTATTTTATTAAGATACCTTGGAGCAATATATTATATAATATTATATATAGTCAAACGTAAGTTTGAAAAGCTTTATATAATATTAGGTCTATGATGGCTAGGCCAAGTATTGAAGTTCATATATAATATAAAGTATGTGGAGTCTTGAAAAGTTTTAGCCCGATTTCGGTAATTTTCAGATATAAATTGAAAGTCGAGCTATATATATTTCTATTTTGCCGATATATTCATTTGTGCTTGATTTATATTTTGTAAAGTGAGAGAATCAGTTGAATTTAAAATTGTTTTATATGAGCAGTAGGCGTGGATATCCGATTTAGCACATTATCATACTGTAATACATAAGTACATATGTGCCAGTATAATTTTATGCATCACATTTGGTTGAAATTGTTCGAATAGTGCCCAAGATAGTTCTTGGAATTATATTTCTAATAAACTAAACACAAAGCATTGATTAAGGATGGAAAAATTTATTTTGACTTATGTAAGTCAAGAATCAATATTGTAATTGATTTCTCGATAAATCGTCGTTTGTAACTCACTATTGAGTTCGATCACTGTATTGTTAAATTTAAGTCCGAATTTAATGCTATACACTTATCTTTATTTCGAATTCCAACAACTTAACACTTATTGCTCAAAGTCAAGAATCAATATTGTAATGGATTTCTCGATAAATCGTCGGTTGTAACTCACTCTTGAGTTCGATCACTGTATTGTTAAATTAAAGTCCGAATTTAATGCTATACACTTATCTTTATATCGAATTCCAACTTACAACTTCTTGCTTATGTCTCAATTGCTCTTATCACGACAACACCCCAACTAGAGCTGTGTTTGTTGCACAATCCCTTATATAGTAAATCTTTATCAAAAGTTCGCTACTAAAACATTCTGGCAACTACGAATTCGCTGTCTAGTTGCTTCTGGAAGTTTATCGTCGATTCTGATTTTTTCTGCTATTCGTGTTTGCCACACTGCCTTAGTCTGATCATCCCAATTAGACACATTTGCGGTATCAAACGTTACAAGCCGTTCCAGATGAACCATCTTTATTTTATTCCTTGGTCTTCCTATGGTCTGTATACGATACACTACATCATTGAGTCGTTTAATAACCTGGTCTGATCCTTAACAATTACACTGTAATGTGGGAGATAACCCTTTCTTTCGTTGTGGGTTATATAACAATACCCAATCTCCTTCAACAAAACCTTCAGAGTTCATTGTCTTCTCGTATTTTGCTTTCATTTTATCGCTCATAATTTTGGTGCGCTGTCTCACCATAGCATGTATATCCCTCATCTCATCTTCTAGGATGCTGTTGACTTCCTTAGCATTCCTTCCGCCGTTGTCGTTAATTTAAAATTTCAAATCATTCGGTAGTCGAAGATTATTACCAAAAATTACCCTTGCTGGAGTCTTCCCCGTTTTTTCATGTACAGCAGACCCATAAGCCATCAGGAACAAGGATATATGGGTATTCCATCTTTTTGATACTTGTCCACAACTTTTCTCAACCCAATTGTAGATGAATACATCCGCTACTGTTCCTGCCTCTTGGTTAGGAATTTCGTATACCTCTGGCCATTCGCTGAAATAGTCCATAACTACCAAAACATATTTGTTTCCTAATTTATTGTCACTTTGTGTCCTAAGTAGCTTACTTTGAAAAGGGAACACTTCTTTGGAATCAGCTTTAGACCAGCGCTAGCTATCCGTTGGAAAACCTTTGCCAAGTTCTTAAAATGAAGCTTTTACCCAACACGATGATATCGTCGAGGTATACCAAACAGGTCTTCCAGTGTAATCCTTTGTAACGAAGCTTTTTGTTGCCCCCTGCTTCTTATGGTTTGCTGAGGTATACTCGCCGTGTTCAGGGTTCGTTACAATAAATTTGTAAACTGTGGGACTCTTTACAAATCGTACTTTATTTGTCTTCCAATTACACAATATGTAGATCCACTTTCAATCTCTCAACATTTAGATCCGCGTTGGAGGAGCGTCACCCGATGCTGGCGTTTCGACAGGGTAGTGGTTCACGTAACCCGTTAGCGCGTCACTATTACGGAGGGCAGTGACAGCGGCCGCGAAGCCAAGCGGGGAGCAGGTCAGAGGATCGACTCACTACCCACTTCACGCGTGACTTCCGGCCTTCGCACGTTAAGGAGTGATATGCCTGCCAGAGGATCGACTCACTGCGAGTCATTCACTCCTTAACGCCGAAAAACATCGTCTGCCTTTCCGCGCTCCCGTTGAATAGTTAGTATACTATCGCGTATACTACCCTGTCGCGCTCTGGGTATGCTACGCGTCCCGGGATGACTTACGTTCCGTGTCGTGCTCCGATGATAACCTCGACAGCGACTCCACCGCTGCGTGAGTTGACGCTCGTGGGTGCTACCGCGACGACGCCCGGACGTTTCTGCAAGCGCTCGCGTAGGCTTACCCCGATTCCACCGCTGCTCGCGTCCTACCATAGAAGATATCCTCCGATCACCCGTCCAGCGTTGTGCTCGCTGTCACAGTCCTGTCCTGAATGACTGCTGATCGGCCTGCTTGCTTTCCGCCAAGCCGTGTGTTGCTTGCTCGCTCGTTCGCAACATGATGCTTAGGATGGCGTGTGTTGCTAGAAGTGGAGTGATTTTCCCGTTGCAGCCCAATACTCGTTGTGTTATTTTATTTAACAGGATGCGTCTTTAGTTCTCACACCTTTTAATACTTGGTTCATAAGTCTCTCAAAAGTAGCAGGAGAGTTACATAATTCAAAGGGCATTACGGTAAATTGCCATAGACCATCTCCAACGCTGTCTTTTCTTTGTCTTCTTCGTCTACCTCCACTTGTCAATAACCACTTTTCAAATCAAGTGTTCAGAAAAGTTTTGTGCCTGATAACGAGTCCAGCGTATCATCGATTCTAGGTAGTGTATAACTGTCTCTCTTTGTTACATCATTCAAACTTCTATAGTCCACACAGAATCTCATGTTGCCATCTTTCTTCTTCACAAGTACTACAGGTACCTCCACGGACTCCCTGATGGTTCGTTTACGCCGCTTTCGCTCATTTCACGTATGGTCTGACTTACAACTTCACGTTTTGTTAAAGGAACGTTTCGAGGAGCCTGGCGGATTGGTTTTGCATAACTTGTGTTAATAAAATGTTTCACAACTTTGGTTCTTCCTGGTTTGGCATCGTCTTTATCAAATATGGATGAGTATCTGAGAAGAAGTTGTTTAGCCGTAGTTTGATGGTTAGCCTCTAGTTCCTCGGTCCATGCGTTAATTTCACTCAATATGTCATTTTCGTCCATGGAATCTTCCTCAAGACCTATTACGCAATTTATCACGGTCTCAATCTGTTGACACTGCCCTAATATAGCTCCTTTGGAGAGTTTAGGTATCTTCCGAGAACTTGGGTATCTTCTTCATTTCCATTGACGAAAGTCTGAATTTTCGCAGTTTGAAATGGTTTAATGCAACGAACAATGCAGCTACTTTATCAGCGTTCCAGGAGACCAGTGAGCCAGGAGACTTTCTTCTATTTAGTTGATCGACTAAAAAATGTTCGCAAAATTAATAAAAAATACATTGCTGTGGCCTTATATACATTAGCTTCTTCTGCTGAGTACAGAACGATTGGAAGTGTCTTTGAAGTGGAACGCACTACGGCAGAGGGGATAGTTGTACACGTTTGTAAGGAGATATTCGAATAAACGAAGTGAATGATGCATATTCTCCGACTGACACGAAAATCGATGAATTTAGACGTGGTTTGAATCGTTTGGATTTCATATATAATTATTATTAAATGATGGTATGAAACGGTTTTATTAGCATCGATAGATTATAGATGTAGATTTACATATATATATATATATGGGGATACCAGAACGAAGTAATGACTCCACCATATTTGAACAATCGTGTTAGAAACTGCTTTTGGACATTTAAAGGCCCACTTTAGGCGCATTGGTCGAGGTAAGGAAGGTCCACTATTCATAATTTCTAATTCATAATAATAATAAAAAACAAGTCTAGAAGTCAGTATAAAAATCGTCAATATATGCAACATCAGAAATGAAGTCGAGTCAAGAAATATATATGAAAGCGTTAATCAGAAATGGATTGAACAAGTAAACACCGATAACAGTGCAAGGTAGCCATGCAGACAGACATGACTGCAGCAGCGGAATAGCCATCAGGCAAGCAATTATGACATCTTTTTTTCAAAGTACATATTCTTAACATTTTTATTCACAGAATGTACACATTTAAATACTTTAGATTAGTATTTTATTTAATATATGGTTAATATATTATAATACGAGTATATTACATTATATTCCGACATATTTTTTACGCAGTAGATATTCTAAACATTTTTAACTTCCCGCTAAGAAAATGGAAAATTTTCTAAAAATCGGGAAGATATTGGTTTCACCCCATTTTGCAAAAATCGAGTTCTCAACAGATCTCGACGTTCTGAGGGTCGAGGAAGCTTCCCCGAACATTT